CCCCCCCCCCCCCCAACCCTCTTGCTCGCGTTGAAAAGGATTGCTCGAAAAAAAAAAGAAGTAATTGGTAAATATTTCGAGCACGGAGCCAAATAAATCTCCTGGCTACGATAGGAGCAAGTTACCTCTGTGTTTCATAGCGAAAGAAAATATTGCCTTGATACGTTTCGTAGTGCACTGATCGAATGAAATAGCAGCATTGAATTTCTCGAGAAAAAAAAATTAACACGAAAATAGCATGACCGTTAGTGCTTGATTCCAAAACTCCTAGATTTGGCAACCAGACAGAAGCCAGTAGCTGATCAAAACATAAGACCCACGTAATTTCGTATATCGCGTGTAATAAATGTGACGCGTCGGTTTCCTGAAAGTTTTTGGCAGATCGTCAATAAAAACCGCCTGGTGAAAAGATCCATCGATATGGCCGCCAATGGTTAATCACTCAGGTTAGCCGATCCGTATACGTGGTCGTGGCAACAAACCCAATCGAAGCAAGTCAGTATAGGCTGGCTTTCACCATAATTATATGGTATCCAGGAACCTATGGCGAAGTCGCGAGATCCGGACGACTGATGCAACCAGTGCAGGCCTTGCGCTGCAAATCACAATAGTGCAAGGATCGAAACGAGGTGGTTGGAGGAAGATAAAAAAAAGGGGGGAGATGAGGTATAAGAAAATAAGTAAAACACGCTGTAAGGTCTCAGCATCCAAGAAAGGGAACCAGCTCGACTGATGCAACATCTCAACAGACCTGCGTATAGCGCACGGCAGCCTTGTACATAAGATCAGACATATTTGACCTGTATGATTATTAATTCGCTCTCGTATTTTCAGTATACGGATACAGCGTCCTCCAGACTCTATAAACTGTGTACTGTGTACTACGGGTCGCTTCAAAAGTACACGTACCTCTTCCGCAACAGATAAATACTCGAGGTCAAATGGATACGAGTAACCCCGTCTGTTTACAACGAGCGAAAAAAAATACCATTGAACAATTTATGATAAACCACAAGAATCCTCAGTGTACCCAGAATGCTCGTAAACGACTGTCGTACCAGCGACGCCAGTCTTCCCGGCGAAGTCCCACAAGTAGACACTTCAAGAACCTCCCCTAGGAAAGACCCCGTAGCAAGTACTCTTGAAGATCATGGAACTTGTGCTGTCGATGGTACAGGCTCGCTCGATCAATAATAAAAAGTCAACGAAAAGGAAAATAAAAATATCACGCCGCATAGGAATAATCGCTTATGGCGATCGATTTCATGTTAAATCCGAGTAACGTATATATAACATATAAATCGGTTCTGGTAGCAGAGGACAGTTTGGCAAAGCGCCCGGCTGTGCCTAGGATTCGTATGCGTCGTTTAATGCATTGTGCCAGGCTAAATAGGAAGGTATACATCCCAAGGGGTGTACGGTGCACAAGTAGCTAGAGCGAGAGAGAAAAAGTGAAAGAGAGAGACTGTTACAGCAAAATGAAGGAGTAAGCGAGAGGGATTACAAGAGTGTTCGTTTTCACAGGCGTGAGATCCTCGTAAAGCAGTACCTAAAGTGGCTGTCGAGGATCCCGATAGGAGGGTCGTTACCGTACTGCCGTACTGAATACACCGTGCCCTGGATACGGAAGCTTTGGTTAACTACTCTCTATCCCCTGGTATACCTTAAGGCAGTACACAACCTGGCCGAAACGACCTTACGCGTCTAATCCACCAATGTATCAGGTCCGTCAACACAGAACTTAGTACTAACTGACGCATTATTGGCATCATTAACAAAGAGCTATGCGATATGGTATTAATCGAACTGCGACGTAACTATCGTACATGGTCTATATATGGAAAGAAAAAACACATCAAATATATAAACTCTCAGTAGGACACGGAGTGATATGGTTGAACCTATAGATGTAATGCTGCCATATCACGTAACACGTTATTACTTCATACCACATATATATATATATATATATGTATATACACTGCAAAGAAAAGCCCATGTGAAATACATATACATCGCAGTGAATTTTATCGGAATATCGGACGCGACATGTCCAAAGGTTGGACCGACCCTTGACCCGTGATAGAATGATACTCTCGAACAGCCTTCGAGGAAGAGGATTAGCCTTGCAAAAAATACGAGCTGCTCTCCATAGGTATAGAAGCATTTAGAAGTGTTCTTCTAGCTACATTCGGGTCCTATACAGCACTGCCTGAAGTCAGCTTGATAAATTATATCAGGGGCCATTTTTTTCTATCGACCGATCGCATATCATTAATGCGTTAGCTGGGTTCACCAGGTTTACCTTGGACATCGTCGCACACATAGCAGAAGTAGTACCTTCTTCGGGACGAGGAGAAACTTTTGCCAATAGTTGAAGCCGTCCCCGTTAAGGGTATTCGGATATAGTACCTGAGCTATGTATACATGTATAGTACGTGTCTATAGAGTGATCCGGGTTGTCTCGCAGACGTTAAACTGCATAGCTGGGAAGAGCCGTCGGATAAGCAAGGCGTTCGGCTTGCAGCTGGTCTTATTGTATAATCGATCTAGCCGCGAGGCTATAGACGTCCGTCGCGATGCTTATACACTTAAAAGCGTCTAAACGGATGGTGCTTCTCCCACGAAGAAGGCAAAGAGTATAGCCAAGAAAAGCTTCTGGGGATTTATCTGATTTGGAAGTGGCGCTTCTTGAAAGCCAGTAAAACGCAATACGGTCGTTAATGGAGATACTCGTGAGAGGGAGCGAGAGCGAAAGAGTGGAAGGACATTCATGAGATTTGATATAGCAAGACGATTTTATATAGTAATGGTGGACGAGTGACTTGGTCTCGTATACGGTTGAGCGTCGCGACGCTCTTGAGCGACGTGGAAACGTACGGCCGGTAAATACAAGATCGACCCAGAAAATAGTTTAACGACTGAAGGATCAAAAACGGGAGTTTGTTGTGAGCTGTACCTCCGAAAGATGCAGAGGGATGCTGGGAGTTCGTGAAAATCTCATTAGCACGTCTCGGCCGAGTAAGTAGATAAGTAAGTAGTACAATACTTATGAAACGTTGAGATACAGGAGTTAAGACGCTTTTCCGCCTTTCAAACAGTGATAAAGGGACTTTTTATCGATTCTCATGAATGGCGAGAATAATACAGTCGGCTGTTAAGTGACAAGGAAGAGAGGAGGGAGGAGCGGCGAGGGTTGGTGTACAGCATAAGATCACAGGAAATAGCCATGAAGGCAAAAACACGGAGAAACAGGGTCAGATAGGTTGGCAGCTGGAAATCCCTAGAAATAGGGATTTTCAGTGGTCGTTCTAGTTATAAACAGCTCATCCATGTTTATTGGAAGGACCCGTGATCAAGTTCATATATATATATATACGAACGAGATAAGGGTCGAACCTCGTCAGTCCAAGAGAGAAGGACGAGACGAGCGTGAGAAGTTAGAAGCCAAGAGAAATAAAAGGATCTTTAAGAAGTGACAGAGACAAAAAGAGAAAGTAGAACTACGGAGTGAAAATTCGATAATGAAAAGATCGAATGTGTTGGAAGTACCAAGACGAAATGGTAACGACCTGAGAGAGAAAAATAAAGAGAGGCGAGAGAGAGAGAGAGAGAGAGAGAGAGAGAGAGAGAGAGAGAGCTACTACAGTGGTGTATATCTATATATACGTATCTATCTATATATGCATATCTTGAGTCGACAGTTGAAAAAAGTAGGAAAGGTCGAAAGGTATAAAGGTGTAAGAGGTTGGACTTGACATATGACCGGGTGGAGAGGCGATAGCTGCGATTTTCCAAGTATACCTGTGAATACCTGATGTAGAAAAGATCTTTACTCCTGACGGTAAGGAGGGTACACGACACACCCGGGCACATAACTCGATTTCGAAGAAAATGGACTTTTGCGGTTTAAAGGAGAAGACGTGCACAAGTAGAGGAATTGGTAGCTATACGTATATAGCTCTAGGTACGTATAGGTAGATAGGTAGTTGTACAGTACTACGTATACGGGGATTCTGGAGATAGAATGCTACGGTTCACTCTCCTAAAGAGTATCACGGAGGGACCGGGAGAGTCGGAGACAGAAGAGAGAATGAAAGAGAAGGAGAGGGGGAAAGAGAGAGAGAGAGAGAGAGAGAGAGAGCACAGTTTGTGTGTAAGCTACGTGTGTAGTGTAAGACAGAGGTAGAGCCAGGCGTCGGCCAAGAACTCGATCGATAAGCCACGCTCTCCTCTCTCGATTTTCTCGACGTATCTTATAGTGCATATATATATATGCACACCCACATATATATAGAGAGAGAAAGAGATACATATAATAGGGACTGAGCTTCCTGGCAGCGCTGCCATTGTGCATTCGTGTTTCCGTCTATTCCGCTTTTCGCCCTGTGAATTCGCTTTTAACCTTAAGAATGCACGCGTGGGTCGATTTGACCCCGTGACTTCTGAAATGGGGTCGATCTCGACTGTGTTGTCTGCATCTCGAAACACCGACACGAGAAATCGCAACGCAATTAACGGCCACCGCGTCGATAAAAAGGATGTACGATTTTCTTTTTTTTTTGCTTCCACTAAAAAATCCATTAAATAACTGCAGCCCGTTGAGGATTTATTAATTAAAGATAGATAGTCTCTCTCTCTCTTTCTCTCTCTCTGTTTCGCACCACATTGTTTTGGGCCACGCTGATATAGTGTCTATCATGCGTCACATTTTGAACGTCCATTTCCCTCGGACTTATAAAGCAAAACAGTAAAATCGTCCTTATTACAATGAACGATTTGATGGTACCTGTCTGTGACATTGGAATGCATTAAATTTTTTTTTTCTTTTCGAAATATTTTTTTTCAATCGTAAAAACTAGAATTTTTACATAAATATCAGTTGTCTCATCTGCGAGGGCATGAAAAACCATTGAAAAGGCGCAGCTAAGACGATGCGACATCACAACGCAAAACCATTTGAAAACATATGGCTACCCTTAAATCGTCACTCTGTATATACCCGCTGGGGGCTCTCGGTAGCGATTTAACGACGTAACGCCTGACAGAGCATCGCGACGCCAAGTATACGCTTCTGCTGCTTGAAGAGACCTTGCTTTTAAATAAAGAAATTGTCCTTTACTCGTAGTGATACAAAGGCGCAGACTACTAGGTCCTTTTTCCTTTTACGAAGTAAGATTCCTTACCCCGTTCATCCCTGAATCATACTCAGACGTTTCTTATCGTAATACGATATACGCGACTTCCAAATTACGCTCGCAGACGATTGCGTAACAGTATTTTTGCTAAAAACGTAAAAGACACAATAACCCAAACATGATTACACCGAAATTGCGGATTTACGCTATATGCAGATATATCGAGTATATAAACCCCTCGAGGTATATGATGTGTCAAGGATGAAATTGTCTGGTGAAATACGAAGCGTTTCGATATATCTATATATACTATCTATATGAATTTCTTGTTGCAGGTCAGACAGGTCATAGAGCGACCATTGTATTTTCATTATTACGTCCGCAACTCGTAACGCTACTACGCAGTGTTTTGCGACAGTTATATTGTACATCGGTATACACGCTTAGCATGCGCAGTGTACGAAAAAGCTGTTTGCTCGCAGGGCTCGCACTGATCCTCTAAAATTATACGAGCGTGCAACCTAAAGAAAAGTATCTAACTATAGCCAAAAAGTATTGTCGTCGCATAAAAATACTGCGAAGGTTATTTTCGTGACGCCGCGAGCTTGACAAAAATATAGTTAATGGACGCTAGATGAAGGATGTGACTTTTTTTTAACCTCAAAGGATAAACAACCAACTGACTGCCTTGTCAATCAGGAATCTTACGCGCTATAGGTAATGCTTTCGTACTGCGTGATACTCACTTTTGCATTGCTCGAAAGTCTCGTCGGAATTGTCTGTGCAATCGTTTTCTCCGTCGCACTGCCACGAGAATGGTATGCAGTGGCCATTATCACAAGCGAACTGTCTCAAGGGACATGCTTTTTTACCTGAAATCAGAAAAAAATAATTTATTCAATAAATATTGTTATTCGAATGAAAAATCCTCATCGTATTATCCTTATGACATGAGAAATATGTGGATTAGGTTAGGTTACCGTATATCAAGTAAATCAAGGCAATTTGACAATTCTTAGTTTGAGTTGGCGGACCGACAATGTCACGAAATATTAAGTGTCGCTCACTCAGACAGTAAGATAAATTTCGTGACGCGATCCCAATCTTATTGAACTTCCGGTAACTGTTTCCTTTCCTCGCGGCAGACGACGTGGGCTCATGAGACTCTTGTGACTTCCAGACACGTACGACATGACGTCGACGTCGAGAAGGACAAAAAGTCAGTCCACAGGGGAGCTTTGAATATTTAATGAAATTCGAAAAATAAACTCTAAGAATATAGTTTAAGAATTCATCTGTATTATTTGCGATGGTAGCTACGCAAGCGTTGACGCGCGATGTTAGTCGGGACGGTGGTATAATTTTTGAAAATTTCCATTTTTCCGTTCATTATGCTTAAGCGTCGTTCACTTCACGATTTCTCAAACATCTGACTTGCCTGAAACGATCCTCGTGACTTTGGTTTATACATAATCGAACATTAATGCTACGGCCATGAATAACTGCGAGCTACAAGACTCCTCCCATTGGAATAAATGGGTCCTTTCAATTCCAGCGGAACGAAATGAAATGAAACGACAAAAAAAAAGGAAGTAAAGAAAATCAACCAAGCAGATTTTCGGAATTAGTTTGCAGCAAATATTGAATTTTCTCAAGTATTTTTGCGATGGACTTCGAAGACAATCTTTTATTTTCCCTGATTAACGAAGCTCTAGCTTTATAACAGGGGGAAGGGATGGGGCGTCAAAATACAAAGCAATTTAACATATTTAGCTAAATCTCGCCTTGCGTCATCGTACATCTTGACAACAGACTCATTCTGTTAATATTATTGCTATTGTTGTAACCGCTACAAATAGTAGACCCAGAATTAGGCGTTACCATGGAAACGTATGCCTTTTGAAAATTGACGCGCCTCAATTTAAATAAAAATATAATTTTTCCCTACAATCGGATTAAACGCGCTTACATAGGAGCTACCATTTCGTTCAATTCATAATTAATTACAAATTAAAAATAATTCATTACCTCGTTCAGAGATGATGAAATTTTTTTTTAATTAATAAACATAATACGTTCGCAAAGGTAAGTATTTGTAGAAAATCTCATATTTTATCCGAACTGATCCCTCGGACCGTTTCCATAGCAATGTTGTTATAAATACTCTATAAATCCTACCCAAGTATCCCAGTATGACAGTACAACAAAAGTGCATAAAAATGCATCTACCAGTGCACGATCTGACTTATCTAGTATTATATGGATATATTTACAATATTCCCATCTGTAAACATACAACCGTATACGTACCCACTCATCTAAGGTACACACGAGTAAAAACTTTGACAGATAAAAACACATCTATGTAGCCAAATGGATATAGATGAAGCTACGACATCGTTGAAATAAAGCTCAAGCATGCACTGCGCATACACAACAACTGCTGGTTCCTTGAGACGTGAAGTATTTTCAGAATTTGATTTATCGGGTTGAGTAAATGTTACGTTTACTCGCTCGAGTAAATCAGAATTTGTCTCATGCACTGCGGTGCAGACAATGCTTCGGGGTGGGTGACTTCGTAGTTTAGAGATTGCGGACTGACCGAAATGCAAGTTCACTGGCAAGTTTAGTATCGGATGCACAGCATCTGTGCACCTCATGGACCAATAGGTGGTCGATAGGATGCAATCCGGAATCTACAATAGGGTCGAGTTACTAAATTAAATTTCTAGTGTCCGCAATATCCAACGTGCATCTAGCGATAAGTAATATCTACTGGTTCATCTACTGTTCTCTCTCTCTCTCTTTCTCTCTCTCTCTCTTGTTATATCACTACCTCCTCATCACCTTTGACCTACATCTGCCAAATATAACGCAGTTGATAACGATTCGCCGAACTTTCCTCGTGTTAACTACGAAGCCTGGCTAATCAAGCTGACCTATGACCTTAGGTCAAGAAGTCAATTTCATTCAAGATTATTAATTATCTCAAGGATCGACACATAGATACGTCACGAGTTCACGTATATATGTACACCTACAGTCAGTGACCTGTTTCACGGTGATACGACAATTATCGGCACCTATTAAAATTTTCATAAGCCCATCAACCCACTGTACTGATTGCTCCGCCGTAATTCCGAAAAGCCGTAAGGGCCATGGACCACAATCACGTACGTACAACACAGGTGTCACGGGAAAATATTATCATCGTCATTGGAAATACAATTTATCAAAGAATTTTAGTTTACACGACCATCTATCATACGCAGGTACCCGTATCACTGATTAATCATTAATTACTCATTGTCACGATTGGATATAATTAAAAATGACAAAATTCAAGTTTATACCATCATACTGATCGGTCCATTGTGCATCCGAACCGAAGTGAATGGATGCCGCACTTACTGGAATTTGCATGAGATTTTCTATGGGATTCTAACCAATTCTATGGCTGCCAATACGTATATCTATTCAGCTGGCTACCTATTTCCAGTTCGAATTGGATAACAATACAATTTAATTCGAACTCTTGCTCCGCGGCTCAGTGAAAATGGTAATGGGGATCGTTCGGAATATTTGAATAATTTAATTAAGGATAATTCTATTAAATACATTTCGCGAACTCCATCCCCTCCTACCCCATACTTGTAAAAAATTCATGACCTTCCAGCTTTTGCACGATACTCGATTAATCGTGAATAGAGAATCAGTGAGAACTGAGAAGAAGAAAAACTTATGAAAAGAAATGAAGAGGGGCGAGAGAGAGAGGGAGATACTTCAAAGTGGAATTCCAAAAGAGAAAAGTTTCGCGAACCCCACGGTCTCTTTGTGAATTTTGTGAAAATTAATCCAAGCGACCGAGGGGGCTTCTGTTATACGCTGTACGTGGAACAGAGGATCCCGGGATAAAGGGGCAGGGTAAAGCAAGGAAATAGAAAGGTAACTAACCGAAGAACGAAGATATATGTATAGAAAGCCTGTAGAGAGCGAAGCGTCTATTGGCCACCAGGTAAGAATTTAATTGGGACGTTATTAAAAAGTTGAGAACTATCGCCATTACGTGAGATTCCGGAGAATTTTCATTTTTAACGTTTATTACCAATCGCCACGCTCACAGGTTACAGCAAAGAGGAAAAAAGAAAGCATCTTCAAAAACGCATTTCACGCATTTTATATCGATCGTTTCATTAATACGTACTTACGTGATAAAATTTACCAAATTTCCTCAACTCCCAATATTTCGCACATACATAATCGTATTTCACATAATTACATCATTCTCGGATAAAAATTATTTATTTATAACCGACAGCACACAGTACATAGTTCAACAAAATATTAAACATTTACAGTATGCATAATACAAAAGCCATACGTACACCGGGCAACGTAGTGCGTATAGTCCGGGAAAATATTTCCGTTCCGATTAGAGAAGATACTAATTAGTTATTCAATTAGTCTGGCAATGTTTTCTACTATCTATTTATATACGTGCAACGTACGCGCAACGAATTCGTTAGTAAACTAATTACATTGTGATACAAAATCAAAGGCAGGTATACGCTTTTTAATTTCATTAGCAACAATGATCCGATGCGTGTCTGTTTGGTTGGTGAGATGATGATTAAGAAAAGTCATTTTATTTCCAAACAATTTAAAGAAAATTAATGTAAGGTACAACCAAGTTCCTTTTTGCCACTGGCTTTCTCTCTGAAGTCGTTGGCGTTACGTTTGCTACTTTTCTCATAGACTTGAACTTTTGTCATTTTTCAAGACCGATTTACTTATTCATTATCTTATGGGGAAATTAATAACGCGCTAGCTTGCTTCCCAGTTACCGCCTCAAGTGACGCGTCACGCATTTAATGCCAGAGTGGATTTTAACTGGTAAGTGGCCCTAGCAGCATCTTATGCTTATGAGGAAGACATTTCGTGCTGGGAAGGCCAATTGTTTGTTGTGGACAAAGCCATTTACGTGCATTAACGAGTTTTCTAGTCGAGCTTTCCAAGAACGGAGGGCGAATAATTGAATTTCGTTTTTCTTTTTAATGAAAAAAATGGAGATTGCGTAAGAGAAAATTTTTCCTTCCCTGCCACTGGTCAGGCGAGTGGAAATGAAAAATAATGGGGATGGAAAGAGAGGGGAGGGAATGTAAATTAATTTAATTAAATTAATTTGAAAGTTAGATTTATGTACTGAACTTTACTTTTTTTAACCACAAAAATGGGTATACTGATTGTCGTATACTAGGGGCGCAATTGGTCCTCTATCATCGCATTACGTTCCATTCGTTTCGCTTCGCGGACGAGCGCTTAGCGGAATTGAAATACAGATAGGAAACGAAGAGAACTGGACTAACTCGAATTTTGTCATTTATTTTTTCCGATAGAAGCTAACGCGTCCTGTTGATGCGGGGTAATGTGGATAACCAGGAAACGTCGGGTGAAAAAAGAAAATAAAAAATTGTTAATCAGAGGACAGCTTACTGAATTATTTTTAAATAATTATTCGTGTATCGATAATTTTCAGAATAATGTATTTCTCTTTATCCCATTGATATTTTAAATGAATAAAAGGTATTAATTCAATTAAATCGTAAATTGGTCGCTGACAAAATCATCCCAACGTATGTGTATTCTGATAATACCAAACGCGACGGACGAATGCACCGACGAAAACGAACGAAATCACTGAAACATTGGAAAAATGCAGAAAAGCGACAAAAGGAATTCGTGACAATTTAAACGCGCGTATTCGGTTCACTAATTTTCAGAAAATACATACCAATTCGACAGAGATTGGAAAGTCGAAAGTCACCCATTAGCCAATCAGACGACCCGAAATAGACAATTTCCCGAGAAGTAATAGTAACCGAATATACGAATAGCCGATGTAAAGCCGCGTTCATATTGTATATCCACATTTATGTGTGTAATATATTTTCAGTTAAGTGCAATATTCATCGACAGGCCAAAAGCTACGAAATCCGTATACTTCCATATCGAAATAAATCTTTTCTGTCCAATGAAATTGAACGAAAATGAAAGAGATCACAGGCGAAGGAGAACGAGAGAGACAAGCAATGAAAAAAAAGATAAAAAAAGAACCAACAAATCTTTCGCTCGTTTTCAAAAATTACAATACAGAGGGATCCCTTTTCCTTTTCGACGCTAAAGCAAACCTATACGTTTTACCTCTTTCTCTGCCTTCGGTCCTTATTTCCTTCTTATACGTTTCCCTATGTCGTACCGACGTTTCCCTACCGCGAAACGAATTCTCCGCCAATTTGCCGACACGGCCATAATACATTTAACAGAATCGTGACCCGTCCCTGTACAATTTGTCCGGACCGCGAATAAACGTGACACAAGACGTTGTTACCGGATGAAGCATACGTACCCTGAACAAGTACTGTACCAAAATTTGACATTCATTCACGCTATTAAAAGGGCACCCTGTACCAGTTATCAAAGCCAATAACTACGCAATCCAAACGTCTTTTAATTAAGTAAATTTTGCAGAATAGACGCAGTACACGGTATATAAGAAATTCCAGAATACATACAAATTTTATTAGAAAATATTCTGGCTACAGCCATTAAGATTGCCCACATATTAAGTGCAGAAATGCCTCGCGAGTTTGACATTGAAACCGACGTTGCGACGGTACTCCAAACGTATGCAAACGTCAAGAGAGTTTACGTTCTACTTATATCTGCTGCATCCTTCGTATAAACTCGCGTAATATGATTCTAGTCGTGTGATATTAAACAAGCAGTGGGTGGGCGAGCGTGTAAAGTAGATAATGAAAGTGCTCCTTCAAAATACTATTGTAAATTAATGCTATTACACTATAAACAAAAAGACCATTATTGCTCGCTTGTGTACAGAGTTGATTACTAAATTCTCGGTCACGGTCTTGGCCAGGAACACGTTTAACCGAAGCAAATGACGGTCAGTAACCTGGACCGTGTAAATCATTGACCTTCGGATATGTTGATGTTGAATTGACACTCGAAATTTGATAATTAGCTGTTTATATTTAAGCGTACTCTTATGTGAATACGTAATCAGTAAAATACCGAAAAAATTATTAGGATTAATAGTCATACCATTTTAAAGTAAAGATTATACTCTATGACGAAACCAATTTAATGGAGAAGTTCATCAGATTGCTCGATGCTTCTTGAACCATTTGCGCATAGTTTGAAAATTTCCCGTGTTACGTGACCGAGGGTGAAGCTCAACTATTCTGTTTTTATGAGCGCATCATTATTATGATTGTGTACGGAACTGACGTTTGATCATGACTTCTTGTAGACAAGCTTTCTCGTTTTGGCACCTGTCTATGGTTGTCAGGTTTATCTTGGCAACGAAACACTTTGTTGCTCAGTCAATGAATATTTGGGTAGGGCTGCGAGACGCTTTTCGATGTAAACACGAATTACGTATCTTGGATGGATTTAGACATTTCTTCGATGTCATGGAAGTGGTAACAGGTAAACACAAGGTGATTGTATGAAATTAAAATAAAGAAGGGCCACATTCTCATGTAGATATCATCTGTTGATTCGTATCACTAGCATTTAAAATAAACAAACGATTATACTTGTCATCTAATACGAGACGCGAGTTAAGATTGACTGCGTAGCTCATGAATTCCATTATCTCGTATGAGTAATGTTTCGTTTAATTTTTCCTGTTCCAGTCTGTCAGGTCCGTTATTCAGCGAATACCTGAGAATCTTGTTCATCAACATCCGGTACGTTCGCGATTTTTCGTACAATCATGACAAGCCCGCGAATGAAACCAGCTTTTGAATTTAAAGGTAGCAGACGGTACCCGAAGTTGCACGAAGATACACGAAGGATAGATCGGCCCATGACATTCGATTGGCTGACAGCCAATCAGCGCTGTGTTTTTATGAATAGCAGAAGAGGCTGCGACCCACCCCGTGTTCGAATGCTCCGCTCGAGCGGTTAAATCGACGCAAAGCCAACCGGCATTTTCTCATAAAGGATAGAAACGACAGAAGAATTAAAGATGCGAATAAAAAAAATACACCAAGGAAGCTTATTAAAATGACATAATAAAAGCAGATATCCAAACAAAGTATTCATTAACACAGCTAAACCCAACCAGTACCAATCAAAGTATAACAGGACAGGAAACAGTAGAGAAAGATGTACGATTATTATTATCGACTTACTGTCTGTGGAGAAAGCATCAACGAAGCTGTTCGACGTCGCGACGAGGGCGCCCAATATCACGACAAGTGGCGAGAAGGCTACGAGCAGCCGACACGTATAGCTTCGCCCCATGCCACCCTCGACTGCTGTTTTCCCGCACCACCGTGTTCGTTCACACGTTACAGAATCCCTTATAAAAGGGTCCGCTTGCTCTAGGCCCAGGTCGGCCTGATGCAAGGAAAACAACACGCGCGTGTCACCTAATCCGTCTCTTGCTTTATAGAAAATGCGACAGACCACCACTATATTTCACGCGGCTGACATAAAACTCTCCGAAGGGCTGCGGCACTGTCACGCGGTGTGCGAGCCTGCCTTGGGCGAGGTAAGGCTTCTGCGAGGCTTCACGAGAACGAGCAAAAAGGGAATGGTGGTTGGTGGCATAGGCCCGCCCCGTACACGTCTGTCTCTCAACGTTTTCTCTCTCCCGGGCAAGCAGGAGTCACTGATTCTGACGCACCGACATCGCGCCACCTGCGCGCGCATATGTCTACCGCTCTTAACTATGCCTGTTTGGCCTGACTGCCAGCCTACCAGCCTAGTTGGTCACCTACCTCTACCTATCTGCCCACCTAGTCACCAAACTGTTTATCTAAATTACATTGAATTTGGTCTGCTTAGATATCAATTTTGCCTACTTTACCTTCTACCTTGTCTGTACCGAGTTCATCGTCACTTGACACCGTCTGCAACCTGAACCGGATCGTCTGCCTAACCTATATCTTATGATGGACACCCAAGCACGTTTGAGAGTCGTGCGACTACGCGTAGATAGTATTACTTGGAGTTATTGAATATGTGAGACATATACAGTGTACAGTTAGCATTAGTGACAGTGGTGACGGTGATTGATTATTATGTCCTTTACATTTTCTTTCACTTACTTAATATAACAGTCAAGTGTCATCAGCAAAAAATTACTGAAGCAATTAATTATTTACCAAGTACGCCGAAGTAGATCTTTTCTTTCCTTTAGACATGACGCGTTATGTTTCACAGTACAGTGAATGTTCGAGATACTTCGAGGTAATTGTACGAGTTTGGAAATTATACCGTTGGACTTGCTTGTTATGTTCATAAAGTAATACAATAACTTGTATATTAAATATAAACAATTGCTGAAGAAAACTTATCCGTTTGACTGATTAATGACAAAGACTTTTTTTTAGATATGAAATACGCATGTTCAAATAGTAGGGACATTATATGCAATGTCAATTTATGTAATTCATTCATTAATTCATTGCTAATGTACGTCACAGTGAGCAACTGGTATATCAAAACATCTTTTTATGGTTTTGTCAGAAAATTTAAAGCCGAGTGCGCCTTTTCTTACCGTTGATTTGTGTTAATCAATTGCTCCTTCAACAAAACCAGAGATGAACGACGAATTTCAATGGCTCGATCAGTTAAAAATTCAGGCTAAAAAGAAAACCTTCAACTGATACAAATTCAAGGTAGCATCACATTCGTTACTGCTAGTAGTCACCAGTAATCCAAGAAGCAAATGCTCTCGTTATCTACTGTTGGCAACATCTGGGAGTTTTGTCAAACTTTTTCCATTCCACGGAGCAGCTGCACTTGCCTGAAAGTGCGACGTTCCTTGTAAAAACTTTACAAACAAAATCCTCCAGCTACGTTCTTCCCGACAAAAAGCTAAGGATCTTTCGATACAACAAAAGTCATGAAGAATATATCGAAGGTACCTAAAATAGTAGTGCCATGCTCAAAACACAGCTGACAAAAGAAAGCAGAAGTTGCAGAGTTTTAAATTCTTTCGCTGTCTTTTATTGCAATTTCAAAATTGCATCACATTCCCACTAGTAAAGGAGAAACCTTTATGAGTACTTAACTGCATATAGTATCGTATAGACAAGTCCCTTGATATTCTAACGACCATAATTGATTATTGCTAATTACTTTCCATCCGTACACGTACTTGAACCTGGGACTCTTCTTATTGTATTCGTATTCAATGGTCAGGAACTAGCGATAACTCAGAAACATTACGCTCAGCACGTTCTACACGTCCGACTCATAAATTGCCATCGCGCACCATTCGCTGTCGATTCTCATTAGCCGAAGTTTCCAATTCACAACCAGCTACTTATTAACTAGTTTACTTACATGCTCGTTAATTACATTTCTTAATCGTTAACTGGCTCCTTCGCTTTTTTTTTCGCATTATCTTTGTACTGTGTACCGAATACAAAATATACAGATCCGTAGCATATGTGGGCGCCGTATGACCCCGAAAATACATATACTATAAAACGGTATAGGTCAGTGCCTAGCATCATAGAACATGTAGATATACGAATATGTACTTATATATATACGTAGAACGATATTCTTAGGAAGTCACGTTTTTATATCCTTTTTTCATGCATATACGCGTGGAAAAAAATTTTGGAGTCAAAGGTTATTGTCAGCAAGAATTCTTCACAGCCAGACGATCTTCTTTTCCTATTACGTCGTTGTTTCCTCATGTACTGATAATGTTTAAGTGGCGACCACAAATTATGATACGAATGATTACCTGCTTATGTAATAGCGAATCAGTCACGAGCCCTCGTCAAAACATAAATAAACATACGAATCAAAACAAACGTTCTCCACGTCTCATGCTCCGCCACATACTCATTCACTTTCTACCCCCTCTTCCTTTGCATACATTCATTTTTTGTAGGTATAAATATATCCATGTGATGTCCATACATACGTATCTACGTAATGTCCATTCTCAAAAAAACGAATGCGTCATCACGTTTTGAATCCTCTATGCATTCAAATATTTCAATCCTGTCGATTAATTAAATCCGACTTGCGTAACTGACACTGTTATCTTAGGTATTTCTTTTCTTTTTTTGCGTCGATCTGGTAGATCATTTTCCATTTTGAATTTTGTTCTAATTGTGGAGGGAGTAAAAGTACGCAATAAAATGTATTTATTTTGAAAATTCGACTTGTAGATATATTATATTAATTTTTCAGAGTGGGGTTGTTTCATCTATTCCTATTCAAGGCTTCACAATGATCGTGTATGTGCTCTACAAGTTTCACACTTTCAAAATTTGATATACAGTGGATCGGAATGACCGACAAATTTTCATCTTAGCGGCGTAGTTGGTTGCGTACAGAATACGTAATAATCTAAGGTTAGAGACAAGGATAGAGCAAGTTCTGGTACAAATTATCAAACTGATATACTGACAACTGTCTGGAGAATTTTCACATAAATTATATTTTTGGCTTATAAAAAGATGGCTATTAAAAGATTTGCGAGTCACTTATTTGAATCTTATTAGTATACGCATTGATTATATATCGGCAGCCTGATAAAGCCTAAATATCTTGCTAATTAGTTTATTCGTATCAGTATACAGATGATAAAGCGATTGGAAACTTCGCTGCTCTAAACCTGTAATCAGCTTTGCGTAGTAACCCTAATCTTGTATGACGCAGGTCAAAGGTAATGGATAGTTTATTAGAAGCCTCGACCAAAGGCGATGCATGATATCCAAACGCAATATATATGCATATTGTTTTATGTTAAGGTTTACCGGCTTTTGTGCATGACACTTATGCCTTAACTGGTATTTTTTGTGAGTCACGATCAGTGACGTAAATAAGTGATCAAATACTGTTTGATGAGCATACATGAATGTCATTGAAAAAATAGTTTCCCTATGACAAATAAAACTCGCGATCACTAGAAAAATAATTTTATTTAACGGTTTTGCTTTTTTTCCGCCCATTCTTGTCTTTAGCATACAGATTCGCGTTGTTATAATAAATAAAGCAGAGAGTATTTGGTATATGAATACTTGGGAGCTAAAAGCGGGAGCTAGTGAAGATGGTCACTAGATTTGATATTTGTACAAAGTAATAAAGCTCTTCGTTGTAAACTCACCATTCATTCTCAAACATTTTCTTTTAGAAATTAAGCTAAACACACAATTCATTCCATAAATTGTAAATTTACAATTCTTGGCTTACGCAGCTATACAATTATACTAGGCTTAGGTAATCATTGATAGATTATATATATTTTTGGCAGCTATAAATATTGTTTTGATACTGGTAGGATGCCTTTTGTGAATGTTCCACGACACACATTAATTTCAATTATTATAATGCACTTTCGATGTTTCAAACCAATAGGCTAAGGTAAAAAAATATTCTTCAATATTGTTATCCTAATGTTGATAATAGGAATATGTTAATTAACCAATTTCGCTAATACAGTTATGAAAATTCGATTAAATTGACTTCTCTAGTTATTGTATTCAACGTGGATGACGGCACAACCGATGACTTAAAGGAACGCACGTGAGATCGAAAGGTTGGCGTTGCTTCCCAAGCTTCATCTCTCACAACACCCTGGTTTCTTGGATACATTAGCAATGGATCCTTACCAGTTTTTTTACATAACCGTTCTTGAAGCACTATTAATTTGGACCGCCAATACTCGTAACTAGCTTGTCTAAGTGCAGTGACCCATTGTTCCACTTGAGATTCTGTTCGAACACTTAATACATGTCGCTTTTCATGCTCATCTCTAAACGTTATGCTAAAAGCAAATACTCCATCGGATGTGTCTACATTAACATTACAATTCTCAAGAATAATTACACCTGTTGGTTGCCTCTTGTCAATTTGTCCAAATTCATTTGTATTGAAATAAAATAAAAGGTTGCCCTTCAGCTTGAACCATCTTTCTTTGAATCCTGTAACAACAAAGTCAGCAATAACATTTCACGTGTGAATTACATGATAATCATTTCAAAAAATTACGGATAAATCTATCTATACGACTATTATTTAGTCAGAAATATAAGAACAAAAATGGATGTATTATTACACACATTGTTAAAGGCGATAAACAATACTCAAAAGGTAAGTAATAATTCTATGCGAGATAGAATGGCACACTTCATTTTTATGAATACAGTCAATGGATTCCGTTTACTAATATAATAAGATTAGCGATTATTCACTTACCTGATTTATGGGCCCGCTTGTGGTTGAGACGACCTTCTAGCTCCGCGGGCCCGCTGCTGGCTTCAGCAAGTTCCTTTTCGTTAAATTTCATTTCGTCCCAATCCTACTCCGTCTCGTTACTTCTCTGCGATTACATTATTTTACATATCAAATGGTACACTCTCGAGAAGTGCCCCTATAAATATAACCTCCAACAGTGACAGTTACACCAACGAATAACTGTTTCGCGAGACTGCCAAAAGATCGAAGCACCAAAAAAGACACCGGACCTATACATATGACAATTTGCACCACGAAATGATATTAGGTAAGAGATGAGAGTTCCCTTCCTTCCTTTCCCTATGGCTGTATCCCCAATGGAGGACATGTGCCAGTAACTGGTCCTAATAATCAAGGTTGGAAGTTTGATACTAGATGGCGATGTACCTTGCGAGACGGGCCTTATTCAACTCAGCGTGAGGGGACCTACAAAGTTTATACACCGAATCCGAACAGTGTTGGGCGAAATCCGTATAAATACTCACTTAAGTTTTCATATGAAAACCCATTGGTGAATGCCGCTGGAAGCTGGGCGCGAACCTCCAACCTTTCGGTCGTGAATCCGCTACCCTATATTATTCATATCCCGTTGTACCCGAGCTGAACATGATCACGAACGTGTATCCTAGCCGGCAGAGGTTCTCCGCAACTTACCGCTGGTTCCCAGAGCAACTCTTAGAACGAGGCCGCTCATCAGATATTGCCTAAATATTTTTTTTTGTAATCTTAAATTCGAGTGCACAGTGTAAGCTCGACAAGATTTACTAAGAGAAAAGCCAGTACCTCAAGCCTGCCTGCGTTAAGGAATGCAGCGATGCGGTGCTATCTTCCAGCATTACTTAACAATAGTTCCAGGCGGAACTATGGTTCCAACATTGAGTACTAGACAGAGCTATCCCGGAACTGTTTGAAACACAACCTGAAAACAACATTGAAAGGCAGCTCCTTATGCATACTTGCACTGAAGCATATGCTGCGACTAGTATCCTTAATAGGTATTTTAACGATGTTACGTAGCAGAACTATTGTTAAAACCTATCAGGAACTAGAGAACTCTTCGAGAACTATTGAAAAAGCCTATTGATGAATCATTTTTAAGAGATTTTTTAAAAAGTGCGGTGCTGCAGCTAACACCCGTGTACCACCTCAATTTTTGTAATGTTACGTAGCAGAACTATTGTTAAAACCTATCAGGAACTAGGGAACTCCTTGAGAACTATTGAAAAAGCTTATTGATGAAACATTGTTCAAAAATTGAGGTGCTACTCGGGGGTCAGCCGCACTTTTTTGTATACTATATGTTCGTGATCGCGTTTAGCTCGGCTACGACGAGACATGCTTTATCGACAGAGGCGATGATCACAAAATCCTACTCCCGAACTCGCCGCTACGATTTAGCACCATGTTTTTGGTATCGCCTAAAACCGTAGCGTTCTCTATCTCCCTACTCATCTCTGTCATCGCCAAACGGGTTCCCGTACGGTTAAAGTTCAGTGGTTACTACTCATTAGTTGCTAGGTTTTGTTTAGTGTTAACGTGTTAACGAGTGTGAGTTTATTTTAATGTTTTCAGTAAACTTGGAAAACAGTGTAAACTAACATGGGATGTGATGGTGGCACTATTCCCCGTAGGGATGAACTTGTAAGAATTAAGAAGAAACCTGAGCAGGTATACAAAACTCAGAGAAGAATAATTATTTTGTTGTGTGACAGCTTCTGGAGGTTATTTTGAGACAGTATAATCCTTGCAGCATTGTCTCTTTTCTTTAATAAATGTTTTATACTCGGTTTAAAAAATTGTAGTATACAATTACTATTTGCAAGATGTAAGTATGAGATATGTTTTCTAATTATAAATGTTTTCGATTACAGAAAGACAAGGATGCAGAGTTGGCTTTTAGATGGAAGCATTGCTCCATCAAACAGTTACCTCTTCAGTCACCAGTTGTTGCATGTGGCTTAGGACGGCTTTACAGCAAAGAATCTGTGCTAGAAGGTCTTCTTGATCGAACCACATTACCAGAAACTGCTACTCACATTAAGAATCTAAAAGATGTTAAAGATTTAAATCTAACTCCAAACCCAGCATATGATGGTACCAAAGCAGAGAAAGGAGATGGCTATGTGGATAGTGGAAAGAGTCCATACATTTGTCCTGTTATTGGATTGGAAATGAATGGGAAATACAAATTTTGCTTTTTGTGGACTTGTGGCTGTGTTATGAGTGAGCGTGCCCTTAAGGAAGTTAAGACAACGGTAAATAGAATTTTTCTTAGTAACAATGTATTAAGTTCAATTTAATTATCTATAAAATTATTTAAATTTGTGTAACAGTGTTTGACAGTAATTTTATACCTAATTTTCAGGTATGCCACAAATGTCAGAAGCTATTTACACAAACTGATGTTATCATAATGAACGCTGAAGGTGATGATCTCACTTTAATGGAGAAAAACATAGTATTGCGTAAGGCTGAAAAAAAATCACGAAAGAAGCAAGCTACTGCTGAAGAACAAGTCAAAGATGTTGCAACGGAAGTGCCTGAAAAGAAAAAAATTAAGAAAGAGGAGAAAGCAGGACCCAGCAAATCAGTGAATAAAAGAATCGAAGCACAAGACCCTGCATACAAAAAAGCAAAGGAAGATTACAGTGTAGCTAAGGATCCCAAGGCTTCTGAAGTCTTCAAGAGTCTCTTTACTTCGCATAAGTCTGCTTCAGAACAAACTAGAGCCCATTGGATCACGTACAATCCCTTCTATAATTAACAATTGCAGGAGAAATATTAAGTTCGCTAATATCCATAATGTAATTTCTATCGCTATCCCTCAAATAACCCACAATTTATGTAAAAGGATAATATAGGATGCATCTGGATATTGAATATGTAAATTAAGACAATTGTTCATTTCTTCAAAAATAATGCCTGTGTAATATTAGTACAAGCATACGTATATGATCTTCGTTTATGTGTACTGAAGATATTACAAATAAAGTTATATACATTCTTCATTTACCTAATGTGTTATGTATTTCGCTTTACAATCTTAGGACATACAAATCTTCATTTCGATATCAATTAGACAGAAGGTATTCCTCACGTAGCTTAATATTCGCTATATAAGTAATTAAAATAATTACGCATGCTCTAACAAGTGTGTCATTTATGAATTATAAAGTTTCTCCGTGCTGCGTATCCTAAAATGGCATAGAATCTGCACATACATATCAGTTCGTAAAAAGATATTTATTTCTAGTTTTTTCACTAATTTAGATAATTTTATACCTATGTGATTTTATTCGGCATCGTGACATTGTATACATATACTATAAAGACCAGTTAAATTTTAGGGTCATACGTAATGCAATTTTTACAAAATCGGTGCAATTATCAAAATAGAAAAATGTGCAATCATCGTGATTGACCAGTCTAAAATACACAAATTAGTCAGTGAGTATTGTTGCGCAATAATAATTACAGAATAAGCACCGTATAATGTAATCAAATTTATAAATCAAATAAGATGATGTAGTATAGAAAAAATTGAATGATAGGTAAGTACCTTGGTGCTACTTTTTTTAGCGTGTGTAAGGTCACGTCGATGCCACTTCAATATATTCTTTGTTTAACATGCTCTTTGGATTATATGGTAAAAGACATTTGTAAGGCATATCATAAATTCTAAGATGCTGATTCGATATTATTAAATAGTTACGATGAGCCATCGACTGGCAAGAATTTGACAGTAATGATTCTGAGTACTGCAGAATGTACGTAGTCAGTATTGATATAAAAGTAGAGTCTGACAGCAGAATTAAAAAAACTCATCTATGTTATAATATTATGATCCTCTAATGAAATGATTTGTTTTGCACGACTTTCTTGTATCAACAGATAGAAAATCTAACCTACATGTAGACTATTAATTTTAGTACGGCGTCTCTTCCTCATAAAGGCACACTGGATTTTCTAAGAGTGTTTCTCTGATAGTTACTCGTATTCCAAGTAATAAGTCATAACCTGATAATAGACAATCTCTATGGTTTCAACATAGTCATTCCCTCATTCTTGAGTTTCTATTACATCTGAGGCACTCTGCGGACAGCAATAACCTGAATGACTTTCCGCAGTCTGCCTACAGTTCGTTTTCTTCTTAAATGCCTTTTTGTAGTACAATAACTCCATCGATTGAACATACATAGTATGATACCACCAAGAATAATAATTCCACCCACGACGTCCCAACGACCAGTGAAAAACCATCTGTCATTTTCTAGATCATTCTCTTCTTCGTGTACATCGTGCGCTAGTCCCGAATGATGCAAAGCAGGAACGTTAACTACGACTCCACTTCGTCTTCGTGGCCATGTAGGATCTGACTCCTGGGGTATTGGAACAGCCGCGACCGGTGCGTCACCCACTGAGAGTAGTTTTTGGGACTTGTACAGGTTCCTAAGATCAATTGCCTCGTTACCAGCGTTTAATTGGATACGAATGCCTTGATCCTATGCGATTTTGTTCTACTGTTATCTTATGGTATGTAAATTAATATGTATATGTTTATTTGTGTAAAATTTTACTCACGCTGGCGCCGATTCGTTTAATGGTCTTCGTGGAGCAAGAACAGTAATAGGACAAGATGGTAATGGACGTAGACGCCCACCTCCCACAGCGCCTTCATTCTCCAGGACTTTACTGTGACGACTCAGATGACTACCTTCCATCCGCTTTGGTAAATCACCGAGCTCAAGGTTACCGGATTCTCCAGTATCTTTGACCTTGCGACGATTTTCATTCTCTAGGAAAACCGAAGGTACCTGACCTGTTGTGGTGAACTCCAAAATGGCGTCCAGCATCCAAAAGCAGGCTATTATAAAAAGGAACAACACCTATAATTTCTTCTGTGAATTATAAACACCAAACTTATATCTTGTGTACTAACGTTTTTGTAAATGACTGTCGTCGATACAATTGGAATCCCCGTAGACGACTATTCTACCAGCGGCATTGTTAATTTTTTCTTTTTCGTGCGCCGCTTGTGCTTCCTTTTCCTCTGGATCTGGTATTTCATTTTCGGCGTTATTATAAACTCGATTAACAGTCTCCTGACTTTTAGTTTGTAATAGTCCAAGAATAGGAACGAAAGAGGATGTTCCTAGTTGAGTCTCTGAAAGAAGTTCCTGGCCCTGATCACGTAGTTCTGCGTGTAAAACCTCACCTTCCATCGGAAACCTTCAAGGAAAAATTATATTTATTACAGAATTGATAATCGCGACATACTAGTACACATTTCAATATTAAACAGTTGTGTAGACAGTACCTAGCTATGGTAGTACCAGAAGCAAATGTAACAGGTGGATGTTGTCCTAGAGCAAACTGGCCATCCCTAACCCAGTCACCGAAAGCTACACCCCAGTTAGGGTACAGAAGATCATTCAGTGCTGGTATATTTGCTCCACCTGTATCCGGTACCCACCACTGTCGAGTATTTTCATCATAAAACTTGACTTTCCTCATAACCGTTACATTGTACCAATCAGCAAATATCACCACAGACAACCCATCCTCCTCCACATCTCGTTTTAATTTAGCTACCTTTAATGACACCATCACAGTATATGATTAAGTTTGTCACTAGAAAGTACCGTTAATCATATTAATATTAAAATACCTCTTCAGGAAAGAATTCTTCTTCTGAGTCAACGATAAGCAGTGTACCATAATGTTTAGCGTAAAAGCAAGTGAACGGTGTTCCTAATACTTCTAGATAATAACCAGCATTACGCAAGTGCTGATACATATCCTTAAAGTTGGTATGGATATGATCTCCATTCCAATCAAGGGGATCATTCTTTGCGCGCAAGTCATCGCGAGGAAAGTATCCTGGAGGATATCGTAGGTTGTGGAATTGATCCCATAGGATCCTCTTACTATCAAATATTAAACGTAATCAGTTTATCGTATAATTCAAGTATCATAAACTGAGTTACTCTCAGGACACGAAGAATTTTAAAGGGTAAATTCAGCTAGACTTACTGACGAGGTGGAGTTGGTATCACCTTAGCCTTTAAGGGTAACTCTATAGTAGATCGTCGTGGTTCCTGTTCACCGTCACCAGGCGGCGATTCAATCGTCATAGATATATGTCCTACAGTAAAATGTGTCAGTATCAAAATTTAAAATAAACTCTATTGTTACGAGTACCTTGAGCTAAACCTTGCCAATCAACAGCTGTGACTGGTACAGTAATAGCAACAGCTAGCCAACCAGACCAGGGCCAAAGAACGTCACTGTGCGTTAACGAAACGTCTATACGTTCTCCGTTACCGTCCCGAATGTAAGGATGCCAAGAAAGCGATGTTACTTGACCAGAGACACCCAAACCATTTATAATGGTAACATTTACTATAGTCGGCATTCCAGTATAATATACAGCTTGAGTGCAATACGGCCACATATATTGACACTCAGTTAAATCAATATAACTAAAACCAGAACATGTAAAAATTGCATCAGGAAACTTTTAAACTTAATATACTACAATAAATCAAGAAATGCATTACCTGGGACTCAAGGTAGCAATAGGTGTATAAGATCGTAAGAAATGAAATGCGCGAAGAAGATCCAGCCTTCCTGCACCTTGTTCAAACATGCCAACTCCTGATATACGTCGAGCTGATCCTAGCAAAGCCTGTTTCATACTCGCTGGAGTTACCTTGTATTGCAAAGAAATGGAGACTTCAAATAGAATATACAAAAAATTAATACTCTATTGAGATATTTAAAAAGTCTAGACAATTTGTGAATTTGGAATTTAATTCTACGCACCTTACGATTGGAATTTTGAGATCCGTTTGCTCCTAAAAATCCACTAGCCAGGAGAGCCACTGCTCCAGCAACTACAGGACTTGCAACAGAAGTACCTGATAGTGTCCTACAACCGTTTTGTAAAGCTGATCCACGTACTCCTGATCCATATGTAACTAAATCTGGTTTAACTCTTCCATAACCAAATGGTAATTCCCATGTGGTCATACCACGAGATGAGAATCGTGCTATTTGATCTTCCCAATTGATACCACCTACACCAATCACGTCCATTTGATCCGCGGGATTGTTCAGCGTACTAGGAAGGTAAAATTAATATATTTCTCTTAATAGTATCCATTAATAAGCACAGATAAGTAGGTTTTGGCTTCTCATTCTTTACCCATATAATGGTCCATCGTTACCAATTGCTGATACCATTATCACCCCATTGGCAGTGAGTTCCCAAACTTTATCAACGAATGGATGATCCATGAAATCTGGACCACCGATACTGAGATTAAGTACAGTAACTTTTGCCAATATTGCATAATTAAAAGCGTCAAGAAACCAGGAAGTGTAGGACACCTAATTTTCGTGAGTTTCATTAGAAATTATTGTCTCAGCTGAATAGACGGATAATTGTGATTATTACCTGTGCATTTGTAAAGACACGAAATATGTGAAGCTCGGCGTCAGGGGCAAAGCCAAGACAATCACGGGACGAGGAACCTATCACACCGGCTACAAATGTTCCGTGTCCTAAGCCATCTTCCAGGGTTTTCTCATTAGTCCAATTAGTGCGTTCTTTTATTTTTTTAAAATGTGGATGGCTGGCAGCTAGACCGGTGTCGAACACGGCTACCTGTTTGATAGTGAAGGGACGGGTCTCTTGTTACTGTATTTTTAAAGATATTAATCAAAATTAATACTGTAAAATCGTAAACCTTAACGCCACGTCCAGTAACTCCCATTCCCCACAAAGCATCAGCTTGAAGGATGCTTGTGATTTGTCGTGGAATGGCTCGTAAGATCCTGCGTGAGGCATGACGACTTTGTGGTTGCCAAAACTGATTATTCTAGAGGCAAAGAAATTTTGATGAGAAGTAATTTTAGAAATACTTTTAGAGTTTGCATAAATATTTGACATACATAACTGCTGATTTTTCGCTTAAAGCTTCCATATTCAGGAGTATCTCCATCCTCAGATACATTGATATACTTTAAGGTTCTATGTACAAGTCTTTGTGGAGTGACTCTTCTTACAAGAGGATGATCGCTTAATGCACTAAGTCCATTGTGTTTGTCAGTTTCTTCTAAGAGGACAACGTCAAAGTCACTTGGAAAACCACTAGCTGGATTGTTTCGAGAGAGAATTCTCCAGTTCGGAACACCTGATGAATTCAGGGCAGCACCAATGTAATTCTCTCGAGTTTGTGGTTTGTAGTAACCCTTGAAGGCGACAATATATTCATTCTTAACAATTCTTGTGGAAAATTTCACTTTGACTTCTCCAGCATTGCCAGTTGAATTGCATGGGCTATTCGTTAGTTGATGACAAGGATGAGATTCTGCAGGATGGATATAGCTGTTCCGTGTGTCAGCCGTATTGTTTAACCGGCTATGGTTGGCTGTTATCACAGCAACAACTAAAAGCACCGGAAAAACTTGCAGCCAACACGTGTTTGGCTTCATACTATTTGCACCTATCAGAATATAAAAAAATCATACAATAACAATTAAATCTACAAATATTGCAGTCATACTAATTTACAATATTTTTGAAACTAATAAAATTGTAAAAAAGATACTTCTGCAGCAGCATACTGTGGAAAAGCTCTGTACCCAGTAATCTCAATTCAGAATATAATAAATTTTTTATAAAAATATTAATGCACGTGGCGTTACATAAGAATATATTTTTCATCATCTTACTTAATGATCTTTGTGATAATATATACATAATGCAAAAGTAAAGGTCTGCTGAGTGAATTCAGGTAGTTCCTATTTAAAGTAGAACTTTTAATTGTTATTACAAATGTATATTTTATTAAACCCAAACAAATTTTTTTTATTAGTAGAAGATTAGTGTGCAAAAGTGTAATTAATTCTTACTTGGAGAATTCTGTTTTACTCACATTATAACCTTGGTCCAATATATGAATTACCAAATTGCATTGGAGTACATTTTCGTAATGCGTTCTCGTCCCTTCTATTGCACCCTCTTGTAAATCAAATCCACATTTTTTATTAACTTCGTCTTTGTCAGACCGTAAACAACAAATTATAAATAACAAAAACAAATAAAAGATTGTGCGCACAGCGCAAACAGCTTCCACATTTTCAATGGAGCTTTCTAGTTAAAAGGTACAGATTAGCACGAAGCTGTATAATTGGTCTTTCCGAAAACATTCCGCTAGAACCAGCCAATAACAAGTCTTTATAATAATATTATTAATTTTCCATGTGTCAACTACGGTTTCAACTATAAAAGTACTATCGGAATACGTAGAGTTGAGTGCGTACAAATTTGTTAACCTGATCTTTTGCATCGGACGTCATATTTCTTCCTAAGTAGGCGAACTGTGAATAATAAAAGCAAAAACACATATTAGATATATTTCTTAGACGTGAGTATTGATAAGAAAATATAATAAAATAACATTCAATCAAATTAGGTTGGTATACTCCTAAGTACACAGATAATGCAACATGGAAAAACAAAAGCGATATACAGTGTATTCTAAAACTTACTGTTAGTACTGAGAATATCGTTGTGTCTCTGTTTACCTACATGCAATTGAGTGAAACAACCATAGCTCCAGTAAGTTTTAGAAATACTCATGGGCGAACTATATTATTATAATTTTTTAATATAATGAAGTAATTTTATGACATCAAAAAATACGCAGACTATTATTTTATATGTAAATTATTATGCAATAAGACTGTTTTTTCATTTGTTATACTGTCATATATAGCAAGTTTCATTATGCATGTTATGTAGTATTTTGAATGGCTTTACCAAGTGCAGAAGCACCTGCAAAATGGATATAGAAGATTCATCAGAAGACACAATAAACATGGGAGAGGCTAGAGCAGAAATACCAATGTTGCTGAATGAAAATACATCATTAGCACCAGTAATTATCGAGGAGCTTGATGAACATGCAATCACGTCTATGAATGTAGACATGGGTGAATTCATAGAAGCTGAAGCATTGAAAGTTCATGAAGTGAATGAAGAAATTGCTTTGAGCAATACCAATTCAGAGACATATCACAGTGGTTCAGCAGGAGAAAATATGTCAGACACTGAAGAACAAGATTCTTTAGCTGCTGCTGAGGAGGATAAATTGACAAAGCAATTTTTAAATGGAGAATTAACATTTTCGGAATATTCCTTAAAAATGGATTATGCAGTCGATCCAGAGGCTCTAGAGTCAGAGACGTCTAGGTAGGCTAGGAAGTCATCCTTTAGATATGGAACGACTTATCATCTTATATCTCATTTTCAGAAAAGCATTTGAAAGTGAATTAGCATCAAGCAAGCGAATTGGTAAAAATAGATTCCAAAGATCAGCAAATGAGTCATCAATACGTCAAAAGCGTAAGAAAAGAATTCTTCCTCCAGCTTTACAAGGTCTTATGGGTGAAGCAAACGTGCGGTTTGCAAGAGGAGAAACTCAATTGGCTGCACAAATGTGCATGGAAATAATTAGGCAAGTTTTTAACATAGTGATTTATCAATAGGATATCCATGCTGAATACAATGAAGCACTATCTCGATCTTAACTATCGTGGATTTTCTACAGGCAGATTCCCAGTGCTCCAGAACCATTCCAAACACTATCCATGATTTATGAAAACGATCAGCCAGATAAATCACTACAATTCTCTTTGATCGCCGCTCATCTAAGTCCCAGGGATGCTGATCAATGGATCAGACTTGCTAGTCAATCTTTGGAATCTGGAAATATAAAGCAAGCAATAACCTGCTACACAAAAGCCATTCAGGCAAATCCTAAAGATGTGGGTGTATATGATCTACGTGCAAATCTTCAAGAAGAAATTGGAGAAAAACGATCTCATATAAAAGGGTATATGAAATTGTTGCATCATTTAGGACCAGAAGATGGTGAAAATGTCGTCAAGTATGCTAAAATGTTAGCCAAACGTCTCATGCAAGAAAATAATAACGAACAGGCATTGGAGGCAATGGGACAGGTTTTTTCAAAATGCTCCAACCTTGTTACTCTAGAGGAAGTTAATGTCATGACAGAACTACTCATCGCTTTAAAACAATTTCATAAATGTCTACATATACTGACAAAATACACAAGAATACAAGTTCATTATAAGAAGTCAAATAGTTCTGAAAACGTGAAAAAATATAATATCCAAGACTGGCAGACTCAGAACCATGAAGATAAAAATATGGATCATGATGCAAAAAAGCAAAATACTGAGGAACTCGAACAAGATATTGAATCTTGTCAGATTCCAGCTGACGTGGTAGTGGATCTGAAAGCAAAACTGTTGATTACTTTGATAGAATTAAATAAAGTAAACATTGCTGATCAACTTTTACCTGAGTTAATGCTCAATGAAGATCCTGAGGTGTCTGGTGATCTTTTTCTAGACATTGCCGAGGCTTTGATGGGTAAAAGGGAATTCGAAAGAGCCCTTATTTTATTACAACCATTAGTAGATAGCAAGAACTTTAGTTTAGCTGCTGTGTGGTTGAGACACGCCGAATGCTGGGTTGGCTGTAAGGACATTAAAAAAGCTATACAATCTTATGAGATTGTTAGAAAATTATCTCCTCAACATTTAGATGCTAGACTTGAGTTAGCTAAACTATACAAACTCAAAGGACAATTTACAGAAGCTATAGAAGTTTTAAAGCAGGATCCTAATGTTGATGTTCTGGATCCTGGAGTTGTGTATCGAAGGACACTGCTGCTGCGTAGAGTAAAAAAATATGACGAGTACTTCCAGTCAGGAATGTTACTTTTATCAAGGCACTGTTTATCTCTGAGATCTAGATCGGAATTATCTACATTGACCAGAGCTATTGGAGTACGTCAACGTTTGGAAGCCTTGAAGCTCTATCGTTTATCTCGTGGTGAGACTCTAGAAGAGGAGAATGGACCAATATTTTCAAAGGAAAACGAGCCCAGTTTTCGTAACGAGTTTCTTTTATTTTTACAAATGTGCAGACTTGCCTGCAAAAGAAAAAAATTTGGATTATTGCAGAGGATGTGCTTCAGTGCGCTGACATCAAAGAAGTTTGAAAAGAAGAATTTCCATATTATGTTTCTTTGTCTTGTATCGTGTATCTACAACAATGATTCGTATTATGGATTTAACATGGTGCGAGAATTAGTACGGATATTTCCAAGATCGAATGTATGGAATCTACTAAATGTGGTTGTCCAAAGAGCTGAAGATTGTAGGCATAATAGATTCATCATGCGTTGGCTTGCAAGGGAAGATCCATTTTCCTACTTGCATATATTACATGCTAATAATTGTCTGGTTTCTGGAACATATAAATATGCACTCAACGACTACATGTCATTGTTTAAAGCTGGACCTAGTGCATTGCTTGCTTTACTGATCGCAGTGACCCTCCTGCAGATGGCATGTCAAAAATTCGCTGCAAAGAAAAATCAACTTGTTATTCAAGGTACTGGTTTTAGATCTTGCTGATCTGGTTTTTATAAATTATTAATCTGTATTCGTTGAATTATTACAGCTCTTGCTTTCATCAAGAAATATTCACAGATTCGTGGTAAGGACTGCGAACAGGAATCCAACTATAATACTGCAAGAGCGTTTCATCAATTAGGTCTTCTGCCTGCAGCAGTACATCATTATAAACTTGTATTGGAATCACCTGTTCCTGAAATCATTCAGCGAAATGCTAATATTCTTGATTTGAAACGTGAAGCTGCATTTAATTTACATCTCATTTACTCCCACACAGAAAATCATCATATGGCTAGAATGTATCTAGAAAATTATATTACTGTTTAAGGGGTATTATGCATAATTTGAATGTAAAGTTGGAAGGCATGTTATACAGTTATTTAATAAATAATATTTTTATACAACAAATCATTGTACCTTTTTCAACCATAAGATCATGAATATATCTTATCTACTCATTTAATATTAATAAGTACTATAATTGTTTGATTATTTACAGAAAAAAATGTCAGCCACATTAGCTTCCAAAATTGAATTCAAAACACTGTGCCAGTTATTTGAAAAAATCAGCAAAGCTGAACCAAGCAAAAAGTTTCATGAACTGCAATCATTCATAAGTCAATGCAGAGTGATAGGCAGCAAGATGAAAAATACAAATCCGGATGCTGTAAGTGAAACTAACAATTTTGCACATTAGTGGGTATATCATAGAAATATATTTATTTCAGGATATATCATTATTTCCAATATTAAGACTGTTGCTGCCTCAGTTGGACAGAGAACGTAGTCCATATGGATTAAAACAATCAATTTTGGGTAATCTTCTCGTAAAGGTGTTCTGCCTTGGAAAAGGAAGTGCGGTCGCTCGTCAAATTGTACATTACAAGTATGATTACGATGTATAATAAATTACTAATCTACTGAAATAGTAAGGTCTTGTAAATTATATTATTTTATTTCCATAAACTAGAGCTCCATCAACACAGAAGACAGTAATCGGTGATTTTGCTGAAAAGGTTTATCATGTGCTACGTTCCTATTTTGGAGAACATAGCGATTCTTTGTCTGTTGAACAAATTAATGCAGCATTAGACAGGATTGTGGATAAGAATAAGGATACGGAATTCCAGAAACTTGCACGAGAATTGAGCGCTGAAGAGTTCAAATGGATGATCCGTATTGTTCTTAAAGATGTCAGACTTGGAATGGGACACAAGAAAATATTTGCAGGTATATATTATTTTGTTTTTAAAGAATGACTATCTTATAAACAATTCAAAATGTACATTCATACTATTTTTTAGCATATCATCCAGATGCCAATGATCTCTTTGACGTAACATCCAATGTACGTGAGATCTGCGATAAGCTCATAGATCCAAAAATGAGAATGCGACACGATATCAAAATTTTTGCACACTTTAAGCCTATGCTTTGTGAAAGATGTCCAATCGAGAATATTGGCAAGTTTTTTCAAGGCTCTCAACAATCTTACTATTTGGAGATGAAGTTTGATGGAGAAAGATCTCAATTGCATATGAAAGATGGCAATTTTAAATATTTTACTAGAAACGGTTTTGATATAACAAGCAATGAATGTTTTGGAGAGTCCAAGTCTTCAGGTATTCCTTAAAAAAATGAAAAAAGAAACTGTAAATGTAATATTCAAGAGTCCAAGTACATTTGAACTTACATCCTGCATTATTCACTTAACTCCAGGTGGTTTTTTGTCTAGTAAAATTGCAAATCTGTTAAAATCAGATTGTCATTCAATAATCTTGGATGGCGAATTAATGGGATGGCATAAGGAAGACAAAAAATTTGGTTCTAAGGGTATGAACTATGATGTGAAAAAGCTGACACGCAATACTGTTCACCAGCCTTGTTTTGTTGCATTTGATATTGTAATGTACAATGATGAATTATTAGTCGATATGCCATTGAGAGAAAGATTAAAACTTTTAGAACAGGCTTTTAAAGAAGAAGAGGGTATTTTAATAAGAAGCAAAACAACAATTGTATCTACCAGGTAATAATTAGAAAGTACTTATTCGAGTAGAAAGAAGTTACTTGAGTGATAGGTCCAATTATGAATATGATATTTAATTCTGACGTGTTTTTTTCATGATACAAGTGAAGAGGTATTGAATTTTTTTAATAAAAGTATGGACCATGACGAAGAAGGAATTGTGCTGAAGAAATGTGAAGGAACATACAAACCAATTCGAGAAGGCAGTGGTTGTTACAAGATAAAAACCGAAGTATATATCTCATTACCAATAACTTTTTATTATCATTACAGATATAATAATAAGAAATCATTTTTAACAGTATTCTGAGAATCTTATACAAGACATCGATTTAGTTATTCTTGGTGGATATTATGGAGATGGAAAATGTAGAGGAACAGTAACTAGCTTCCTCGCAGGTGTGGCTAGCCCAGCCTTAACAGAAGATAAAGAACCAAGTGAGTTTTATGCAGTAGTACGAGTAAGCTCGGGTATAAAAGATGTGGAATTAGAAGAAATGCTACAAAAATTAAAAAATAATTGGACTAAAGATTGTCCAATGGGTATTATTGGTCCGAAGGTATAAATTGCATATATTTTTTTCTACCATACTGCATAAATCTACATTTTATTCAATAACAAATCTTTGCAGTCGCAGCCTCCAGATCTTTGGATACATCCACGGAATTCATTGATCTTACAAATACGAGCAAGTGAAATGACACAAACAGTTTATTATCCTTTAGGGTACAGTTTGCGATTTCCAAGAGTCGTTAAAATTCGAAATGACAAACCATGGTACAGCGCGTGTTCCGTCACTGAGCTCAAGTCTCTTGTTAAGGTTGACAACAATAAAATTCTCAACAATTAGTTAATTATATCCATATACAGTGGGTTAATGTAAGTTATCAAAATGTTTTACATTACAGGACACTGGAGCTGTTCAGAAATTATCAAAGCGACATGTTACCAGTGATGACGTTGATGAAGTACCTATTACAAAGATTCCTAGAACACGAAAATCATATCCACCGACAGTAGCTAAACAGTTTACTGGAATAAGAGCTTCAGAAGTAGTGCGTCTTACTCGTTTGTTCTACAATAAAGAATTCTGTGTTATTAACGGAAACGATAAGCATACAAAAGAAGACATTGAAAGACTTCTCCTCGAGCACGGTGCGACTGTTGTACAAAATGAACGAGGCGAGAAAACATTCTGCGTTTTAGTTGGAAATCCAAAGACGGTATGAACATTTAGAACTTTTAGAAATAGTACGTTATTCCTATAAGTAATTTTTACTATTAATTGACAGTTCAAAGCTAAGAATTTGATTAAATATGGACATTACGACGTAGCTACATTAGACTGGCTTTTCCGTGCTACGAAAAAGGAAAATTGGGCTAGTCTACAGGACTGGTATCCCTGGGAGTTGTTATCAATACGTAAAGCAACTAAACATCGTCTTGAAAAGTTGTACGACGAGTATTACGATAGTTATACCCAGGACGCTGATGAAGAGAGCCTTACACGTTCATTGGAGAAGGCAGAAGAAGCAGTGAGTATATTTAGTTGTATAATATAAAAATACGAAGTAGTTAAATTCTTATGGATTAAGAATTTTTCTGTTTTGTTCTTATTTCTTTAATAATGTTTATCAAAATATATTTTGTATTTAAATTGAATTTGCTTGTTTAGGTAGCTGGTATGGAATTTACGTTGGAACAAGTTAAACGTATGGACAGAGCGTTGTTTGAAAATGGTATATCTCCGATTTCACCTCTTCGTGGTATTGTTGGCTACTTTGATGATACTCGGAGTTCGGCGAAGTTTCTCTTTCGTTTCATGGCAGGAATTATACAAACACAGATTGATGATTCTGTCACACATGTGTTTGTCAGTAAGAATAATTTTGTATCCTATGACCGATACAGGTGTATTAACAAAACGAGACAAACACCACTTATTCTTGTCGATGAGGAATGGATTGGGAATTGTTTTAGAGATCGAACTTTAATTCCTTTGGATGAAACTTACTTGATTGATCGTAATATTTAAACCATTCTACTCCCTTAGATTTTAATTTGTTACTATTTGGTATGGCTAGTTTTAATAATGGTTTAAAATTATATTGTGATAAATCTAATTTTTTTACTCGCAAAATGGTAATTTATTTTCCAGTGTATTGATACATAAAATTGATTATACCACTTATTAAACTATGTCGATAATAATAAGAAAGATATAGGAAGTTGTTTGAGCGCGCGAATAAATAATTAAATAATGCAGTGGAAAATGTTGTAGATATATAAGGAGAGACAATTCATAATAATTAATTTCATATATTTAGCAGCTGATACTTGTTTACGTGTCGATGAATTTCACATAAATACTAAGTTAGTACTCGAAGGTCGATACATGCTTCTTGTTCAAGGTCTAATGATTCCGGTGTATCAGAATCACTGATTTCTTCACCATCAAATAGAAGTTTTATTCTTGATTCCTGGAGTTTCAATTGTTCAGCACAGCTGAGGAAAACCGTTTTGAATTTTTGATCATTTTTCAACATAACAACCAACTTTCTCTTATCAGCCAATTGTATTTTGATTTTGCACATAGTCTCATCCACACATTCATTATCATTGGATTGTCCTGCTGACTGCAAATCACTTATTCCTCCTTCTACAAAAACACTACTAAATAAATAGAGTTCTACTACTGAAAATATTAAGTATGCACAATTGTACAAACTTACCGAGAATATCTATTACTGACAAATTTATGGAAGCTGGACTATCATTCCGACTGATTCGCAATTCCTTTCGCGTTATAACAATATTCTCTACAGGTACAGATTCTATTGCTGCAAAATGTTCAAAAACTTTTTGGAATGATTCATGCTGAAAAGAAAAATTTATATAGCCTTTGTAGCACATGTATGGGTGCACACTATTGAAGCACACTAATGAAGAGTTATTATTACTTGGTGAAGTTCAAAGTGGACGATCGATCTATATCGCCAATATATTTTCACATCAATAGGGAAATCATCATCCTCATTATTGATAGTATTTAAAGATGATGAGATTGAGAAACTATCATTTCCATCAACACAAATCACTGCATCATCATCGACAGAAATTATGTCCAAATCTGAATCCAGTACATTCTGGCAAATTTGAGCAATCAGAAATTATTATATATATAAGTGCAGAAACAATGAATGAAATAAAAGTATGAGAAAAAATACTTTTTTTTTCCTGCGATTTCGTAATTTGGGTTGAGCTTCAGGCACTGTTACTCTCTTCTGTTTAATGCGTTTACTTTTACGTGGTAACTGTTCTGTGCTGAAAAAACAATGTATAATTATGTGGACAAATAACTATACCAGAATTTGATATTTACATCATTAATCCACTAGTTGCATCCTCTATAACATCATTATAATTAGCTACATTAACCACAGCTAGAATTTTTTCCTGTTTTTGAGGCTTAATCTTTCTTTCATCTTCAGGTATATGTCGTATATTGGATGATTTTTCTTTCAAAACTGAAAACAATTATAACAATGATATGTAAATTATAATGGAGAATAATGTTAGAAATCATATTACCTTTCAATTTTGTAACCGAATTTGTGTAACAAAAATCTTCATCGTCAGATGAAGTATCGCAACATATTACGTCCATGATTCTTATATAGGTGATATCTTACTCAATATCATTATCTTTATCTGCAAATGAAACTCTATTATAACTTTGTTAAAAGCAATGTAATTAACTGCAGATCTAAATTATAAATAAATAAATCTTTATTTACTATAATTCCAAGAAAACATCTGTGTAAGCACATTTCAAAAACTGTATTTCAATAATCCATAGTGTGCTGTGATAACATTCTACTTCATTACTCAAAATATAGTGAGCAAAATAGTATTTAGGATATCGAAACTTTTAACTTGACAGTCTAGTAAAATTTTATGTGTATATTTTTCTTACAATGCGATGGTAATTTTGATCTAGCACTTGGCTCCCTACCGAGGGCAAAAAACCAAAAAGAATCAAGAAATAATTATGACGAATATACAAAAAATTCTTTCTTTTTTCACACCTGCCAAAACAGTGTCTACGTCTTTTTCCTTTCAAATTATAATTTTAGGCTAAAGCAGTTATTTGCTAGACATTTCACCATTAACTAAATACTAATAAATAAATGATACTAATGATGAATACAAAAGTTGACTGTTGAACCTCTGATGTTGATATACAGAACTTTATAGGCACTGTACTCTGCCTAATCGACGGGGTTAAGTAGAAAAAAACTGAAACCATTAATTACCAAATAAAGCATAAAACTATTAAAATATATATATTACCATTGATTTTACAGCTAGCAAGAAATAATGATGAAATATGATTTGGTAATTCCATGATTACCGATTAGGTTTTTTTTGTACCACTCGTAATCAAATCTTCAACGCAACAGAGGGCAGCACAGTTTTCCCAATCAAAATGTTATATTACAAATTTTGAATATAAAAGATTTGAACAGTTAGCTTGATAAATTTTTCTCCTGCAGTTTCCAAGCGAACGAAGTCATTAAAAGAGTGAAAAAACATCTTACACTAAATTGTACAACAGTATTTATTTACTTTATGAAATACAATATAAATCTTTCTTTTTATAATTTGCATCATAAGAGTATTCACCCTCGTGACACTCTATAATATTACTTCCACAAAGCTGATTCTAAATTGTGTATTCATTAGCCAATGCTTTTATCCCGACCGTTTTTTCCTCTCATAAAACAATAAAACACAAACAACATTTACCCCTCTATAACCGTGAGTTTCCCAATGACAACCGCAGCAACAGTTGAATAATTTTATTCCCCCCCCCCCTCCCCCCCAGTCTGTTCGCAGCTTGATATCAATTTTAGCCAATGCTTTTATCCCGACCGTTTTTTCCTCTCATAAAACAATAAAACACAAACAACATTTACCCCTCTATAACCGTGAGTTTCCCAATGACAACCGCAGCAACAGTTGAATAATTTTATTCCCCCCCCCCCTCCCCGCCAGTCTGTTCGCAGCTTGATATCAATTCTACTCACACGTTCACAACAGAATAAGAGAACAAAGTGCACGCAATTCCGAATTAAATTAACAACGAAAAACAGCCGTAAGAATCATATCTATTGTGTGTAATTGCAGCAACGCTATATCTATATAAAATATCCAGAATCCAAGGCTGAGGGTGATGCATTAAGTTAATGAAGCGTTGATCCTTTCTTTATCAGTAGGCCATCTTCTTCGAATTAGCATTAACCTGCACTAAGTAAACTAGATTTAATCCAAGAGAAAAAGTACCTGACTTACGTAATTCTTAGAAAAATAAAGATACAAATATATGTATATAAACATATATATATATATATATATATATAGTGTTGTACCTAAATGACTGTCATCTTTCATAGAGAACAGGCACACGCCCTTGCATTTAAACCCTTCATCCGCGTGGAGAGATCGATGCAGCACCAGCAGTAGCAGCAGCAGTATGCGTTACGGTATTAACGAATAAAATTCGCGAATTGGTTTTGAACGATACGACCATTTTCCCATCAATTTTTTTATTTCCAGCTGAAAATTTGTCAGGATTTTCCTGTGTATCATTATCGTCAAGATTTACGGTGACCCATTGTACATGTGCAGTCATAAAGGGCTGCCAGGTTACGTGTACTGAAATAAAAATATATGTATATATACCCTGAGCGATGTACCTACGTCACGTTGTCAATTCATTAAAAAGTTGTTTATAAGTCGGTTGATAGAGAAGCGAAATGGGCAGGGAAAGTGGAGGTGGGAACTATACCAAATGATCTACATGAAAGAGTGGAGAGTACAGTCCCTCGACTAATGCAAAATGCATCAATGCAATCTGCATCTGGTTAAACGAATTGTCCTATAAATTAAATCAGTCTCTCGTTGGATTTTGAGTACTGGCTCTATTCCCGCTCCTTGCTGTCACTCATCATAATCAATATGGCCGATCTGCCTTTGCGCGATCAGATTCGTCTGCTCCCTTTCAAGATCCTTCAGTTTTTGCTACGTCATTCCCAATGGGACGTATGTACATACATTATTTGTTGTCAGTGTTTTCAATGGAATTAAGCGTAACTAAAATCAACCATACTGTGAAATAACCTACAAATATCTCTGCGGGTTACGTACCTATAATGTGATTGAGTAGACACTGGAAAGGATGTTTTGCTGCTACGCCGGGGGATGCCAGGGGGGTCTCAATACATACGACGTTAGTACGACGCCTGTGTCGTAATGGAAGCACTTTGCCGGTTAGCCTCAAACTATAATCTGAACCAATAATATTTATTTTACGAGCGTCCGAGTATTTTACACTGTCTCCGTGCTTCGACGTACGTTCGAGAATATTTTCCTTTTCGTCTCCGTCCCCAGTTTTTATCAGACCCCTTAAACGTAACGGTGATCCGGAAAAAATTGAAAGATAACGTCTTTCGAATTGTTTTAAACTGTGTACCATTCGGTTTTATTCAACGTATAGAAAAGTGTATATCTTTTAGGGATGTGTATAAACAATGTGAAAAATTTCAAGTGCAACACGAGAAATACCCAATTTGATGCTCTTGGAAATGGAAGACTGGGATCGTTCCTTACGTGAATAGAGGTATGCAAGTAGAGCCAACACATAGTATACTTGAAAAATTCAATATATTACAATATATTTGAAGAGCCCTGGAGCACTACACAGCATCCAACGATCGGTATTGTATATGAACACTTGTCCTCTGTGTTTTGACGTGAGATATCGATTGGCACGGGTTTCGGCTAGGATATCTAACTCAAATCATATACATTCATATGTGTAGATATATACCTCAAGATTTTCCACTGCTACTGTCGTCAAATACAGAACCGAATGAAGCTTAGCACTTTATTGAGGGATCCAAAATAAATTTGGGAAAGCTCATGCGTGGGTATAATAAATCACCTCAAGATCAGTATGAGGATAGGAAAGTACATTATTTTTTACAAGATGTTGAATATAATTAAAATATCCGTGATTCTTATACAAACTGAAGTGCGCATGTAAAGAAAGTGGAAGTGTTAGGATACAGACGGAGAGAAAGAGAGGAAAGATCGAAGCGTGACGTTACTTAATGCAATATACATATTACGTTCTCTATGTAAGAGCAGTATATCTCACTAAAATCCGATAATAAACTAGGATTCTTCGCCTTCTCCAATGTACGTACTATAAAAATACATTGAATAAGAGTCTAGGGACATTACCTGAAGAGGTTACGTGATTCGACGGGTGTTCCAACGTGTTATAAAAATATCGTAAATCTCCGAGAATTCATCTCCACCAGAGAGACAATCCAATACATTATTTTCACTGGGATACTCGGCGTAGAGACGTATGTATGTATATCTACATTTTTCTTCTGCACTTTATGCCTTCGTAACGTGCGCGAATAAACATCTCGTGAAAAGGTTGTGAAATTTTATTTTCGGACGCAATAACGTATTCGAGGGTAGATTCACAAAGACGGTATTTTTTCCTTTTTTTTTTTTCTTTTATTTCGACAATGCTATAAAGTTTTGGCGCCCATAAAGGATATATTTACTCTTCCCGGCGTCTTCGTCGTTTTGACTATTGACACGTTATAAGATGAATAACTTATAATCCTTGAAATACGATATCCCAAGGTTCGGAAAATGTGATACTTACTTCTCCGTTCTTCAGGACATTCAGAAAATTTTATGTGAATATTTCATCGTCGACACGTTGCGACATTATTGCTTATTAATTAGTTAACTTTCAGTGGTATATGTATACGTATATATCTATAGCTATAGGGTGTATGCATATATACATATATGCGTGTACTCACATTTCACCTGTAACATATGACAGCTACGGACGTCCTGGACTCCTGGGTCTTTTTCAAGCCTCGTTTGACGTGCGTCATCAATGATTGATATTCAATTAATTTGCGACAGACGTCGTGCGCAATTTATCGACTCTCCGTATGTCCTGTACGATTATTAGATTTGATTAATAGACATATTTCTTCATTGTTCTCTGTACTGCATTCAATCGAAATACTATATTAGCTTTGACATAATTATTCGTGAAAGCGATGAAAAAACTGTCGTGATTCACCAAGCGGAGTTGTATTAAAAAAAAATACTTTATCACGTATCACAATCCAGTGGTTTTGAAATTCAGAGCTTTTAAAATAATACAAAATTTCAATAATTGCTTAATCGATGGACGGAAGACGTTCAGGATGAATTTTTGTAAGAATGCTTAGTCGATTGATACTGTCGCTCGATTTCAACTACACGGAAGTCATCCCGAATGATATTGATAATCGAAGTGTCTTCCAATTTCGTTTTTCACGGTGCTAGGAGTCGGCATTGTTCCGGAACGGTTTTCGGCAGAGGTTCCCGTATACTTGAATTTCCCTTGTCCGGATTGGTCGACGTTCTCATTTTCGCAGCAACTAAGTGAAACCTTTTCTCCGTATTAGCTATAGAGCGAAAATAACCATCCCCGCCGGTTTGATCCTTCGGACGATTCCTCTGCGTGAATTCCCAAATTCCAGAGGCTAAATTCGATATCTCACGATTGACTACGTACCGAATTGCTCAAGCGCACCGATATCGGCGAATATTCGGATAAATTCGTCTCAGAGATACAATCTAGTTGGACTTCGTTTTAGGAGCAAAACGCATCCTCAAAGAATCGACGATATTTAGTGTGCTAATAATAACGTTGAATTACGATAAAATTATTATAAACTTCATACTGACTCATTACGTGTTATATTAGTTTTATACAAATTCTAAAAGGTTTCCTTGGTATAACTTTGACGTCAAAGCAAACCCCTGAATTTTCTTATTACTATAACACCTAGTTGCACTTGATTCCTTGAACGTTAATACCGCGACTATGAGGAACCAGGGAAGCCTGGGTAATACTCACGTAAGTGTTAATTGAAATCGATCCTTGCCGCTATTCCGAGTGAACGAACAATTTTCTGGAAATCGCTGTAATCGGCGTAATTCATTTGACCACGACTATTCGTTTCACAGGCTTCCAGCCAGCGGCAGTCAGCGTCCCGACGCCGACGTCCGCTTGTCATCAGCCAGCGAAACGAACGACTGCGCCTTCCTCGCCGTTGAAAATCGCGTGACTCGATCGCGTTTACACTTTCCTGGCTCGCGATACCATCTTAATTATTCCTCGTCGCACGCGCCGGCTAAGAGGCTGTTTCCTTGATGCACTAATGGCGAAGGGAGATAGTAATGGCGAATTGCGCGATATACATAGATTTATGTATAACAGTAAGAGAAACAGAGCTGCGAGCCTGACACTCGACTTAAAAATATTTAAATATTCAAAATTTTGAAAATTAAAATATTTTTTAAGTCCGATGCCAGATTCACACAGGTGAGAAACAGTAGTAATTGTATATACTGTAGATACAGTAGTTTCGACAAGCAACTAGTACAAACTCAACATAGACTATATGTATATACATATATACTAAAGAAGAACTAGAAAATAATTCTTCCTTTTTCTTATTATTTCTTGTCCTCTTTATTCCTTTCATTTTTACGAAAGATTTTAGAAGAAACCCTTTCCGCACTTAACTCTCTTGAAATAGCATTTGGTTCTTGTTATTCCGTTCTTTCCCTTCCTCGAATGTTTTCAGCCTCAGAAACCCTGACGGGCCCGACCTCTTGGCCCGGCCATCGAGGAAAATAATGCATCGTGTCGACTTTTGATTAACGGTTCTATCGAGATCCATAAGCCGAACGCGATATGATAATTTTCCAGCCATTCCACGTAGACTGTTTAACAAGGAAGAAAAAGTAGCAGAATAACGTGATCGTCAGAGATATTAAACCTTTTCAAGCCACGTTAAGGCGATACTGAATTTCACAACGGTGCCTCGTTAGCCGTTCTCGACGTTCTTGGAATATAACTGGCCAGGACACTGTTGTACGTGTTTCACTTACGGCGAGTTCACAGGACCGTATATCAACATTCTATACAAAGCGTTAATACCCACGTACATACGTCACTTCACGGATCTGCGCATCAACGGGGGAAATAAGCATTCGTCGCGCCTGAGCGTGTTTCAATCGTCTCCAATTAGCAGTTAATTAATTGTAAAAATATTACCATGGCCAGTGGGCTTTAACGTAAATACGTCCACGTTCTGGGACGTCTGGGAAATCCGAAATCAGTTAGTACAAGGCCGTTAGTGAAATAATAGTTAATTTGTCGAGTTGACGAGTATAATGGACCTATTAGTAGGGGGTATAGGTATCCCCTACCTAGTTTACATTTACTCTTTTAAATACTACTTCTCTTGCGGTGTGTATGAAAAATATTCGTTCACGCCTTGAGGCGCTTGTCGAAACGGTTTTAATAATTTGACCGATCATCATGGAAATAGCCAATGAAGCTAAAGTCCTTAAAGAATAAATTGGAGCAAGGCGATATAGACTGTAATGACGAAATGACTCGATAGGTATTATATATAGGTATAGACTATTGTACGTATACTATAAATAGATATGTACGTACGTTCAAACATTATAGCACGGGGAATTGAATTTTGTAAAATCTCGACAGCGAACGACTCGCTGGGACGATCAGTTTAAATTTATCTAAATAAACGATTTTACTTGTCATGCTTTATTGGATAAAGAATAAAAATTTATTTGATAATTGACGTACCGTGGGGAGTAGTCTTTACCGAGTGGTGGTAGCACTGTTTGGAGCAGCGAATCGCAGGAGGCCAGGGTGTCGAGCCGTGAAATTTAAAAATTGAAAAAGCGGGGTAGGTGGATGTATAGAGAGATGAAAAAAAAATTGCAAAAATATTCAAGCGCGTACTCGTAATTATATTTACTATGGTCGGATTATAGCTCGTGTATATCGTATATGTAGATCTAAAGGACAAAGTTTTTTTTTGCGAAGCTACACGAACCTTAAGAACCTGATACAGTATTCCTAATGAATAATTCGAGTGGGTTTCAGTCTTGGAGTGGTTTAAATTTCCCGCCTAGGAAATCAATCATCCTTTCTATTCGGTGGTAGCTACCAGTGTATCGCTCTGCGTAACAGCGACTAGAGGAGAGAGAAAAAAAAAGATAAAGGATCTGTGGGATGTTCGGTTACGATGAGCATATCAGAGATAGGGGGGTTGTTGATGAAGAAGCGAGACGGAGAGGGTAAACAAAAACGTAATAAATATGTGTAACAACCCTTCGTCGAAATCAGAATACGATACAGCGTTCGTCAGGGAGTTAATAAATTGGTCCAGTTATAATGTGATTGAAGATGAGATGCTTTTTCAATGACGTCAACTGTAACTTCAAAAGTTTGACGTACCGGAAGTCTCGTTACGTGGAGTCATTGATCTAGGGATTTGTGAATTAGACATGAGGGGTTGTTTTCGAGAGGACTTGCTTGCAGGTTAATTGGGGCGGATTGAGAACATTGTCTTTTTTTTTTATTATTTTTTTTTTTTTAATGAAACCATCCCTTGGTTGACGCGTGATAGGGAGTGGCACGTCATTCTATGTCACAATCACTTATTCTTTGAGTGTTACGCGTTATGACGATGATGACGTCGGTGCGTGCACGAGTATGCCGCTGATGGAGACGAAATAACTGAGCCAAGAGGAGCGAAAGGTCTGGCACTAACCTAACCTCAAGAGACCTCGTCACTTTCGAGCCATCTGTCATTGTATTGATGCTTCTTCGATGGCGATGGTGAGTCCGGAGTATGGAAAAAGGTCGAGGAATTGTGGAATTGAGGAATCAAAAGGATTCCACATGTTAATTTCTTTTTGGTATCCCTTAGGGTCCGTGGAGGGTTGACCTAGATATAGAAAGGTTCCAGCCGACGTGTATATGTATGTAACGTAGATGGTTATTCTTGTAGGTACAAGGGATAATGTGTGACATCGGAGTGTGAACATGAAAAAACGGGTATGGGGAAGATGCGAGAGATCTCCTGGAGGACATCCGGATAAGTACCGTCCCGACAGAGAGCCAGAGAGCGGAACGGAGAGACGGGGAGAAGATGTGAAAGAAAAGGATGCCGAAAGATTCGTAAGAAAATTTCAGATAAATTCCTAAGCCGATTCAGCACTGGACAAGCTTGTACCACGAATCTCGGTAGGTTCCGAACTTTGCAGTTTCCGATATTCAGCTATTCTCTAACAAACTGATCTACTATTACAGCCTCTCGTGTATCAAACAAGCACCGCTGACCCAAGGAACCGCGTCTTCGCCTTCCCTATCAGTGATACCAGCGACAACCAGCGGTAGCAGTGGCAGCAGAAACAGTAGCAGCAGCAGCAGAGGCTAGTAACCGAGATACAGCCCTCTCGTCCATACCGAGGATGAAGAGGAAGCCGGTGGGCGCAGAGCGAACAGAGGAGAAGGTAACCAGAGCGAGATTCAGGGAGAGGATGCTGAAGGGAGACAAAGATGAGGTAGGAAGTAAAGGGAGTAGGAGATGAGGATGAGGGGCGGATGGGGTGAGCCAGTTGAAAGAGGGCGGGATGGGTGGTCTATGACGTCACGTTGCTAAAGCGACGCGCCAACGCTAAGCGTCTGCGTGGGTCGGCGGGTGTCTGGGCCGAGATCAATAGCGCACCAGCAACCAGGTAGTCGGTGTGAGTGGCTGTGTGCCTCTCAACGACGGCAGTCCAGGAGACGAACCCCTCGAGGTAGGACGTTTACGAACTGACTGAGCCAGTGAGACAGGAGAGCGCCATGCCAGCTTCGTCACTCTGCCGTACGGCCGTGATTGCCTAGGATTTTCAGCCTCTCCAGGTAAGAGTCATCCATCCTCTTGCTACCTCTTTGCCGTCGTCCCTGTCGTCTTCGTCATCGTCATCATAAAAACTAGCTGCTCCATTTAATTTTTCATAATCATCCATCCCGGGATGTCCCCGCCGATTTTCGAAAGGTGGTGCCAGTGCTGTTTTCGAGTTATTGGGAATATCTGTGGACCAGCGGATGCTGCCGTGACAGGGCGGCCTTGTGCGAGTGTGTACCGTAGTGGTACCACCGGGAGGATTGGCTAGAGCTACGGAGCCAACTAGAGATAAAGAAACGAGCGGAATAAGCGGGACCGAGTGAGATGAGAAGATTGTGGGAGTGTGCTCGATAAATTGACTAAAGGGTAGGAAGCACTGAAACAGGGAGAGGTAGATAGACAGTAATGTTAAACGGGCTGAATCTAAGAAGGTAGAAGGTTAGTAGAAGGGTAGAAAGCGCCAGGGGAGAAAACGAATCAGTGGTGGGGTATAGCTCTGGGTATCTGTGACTACGTATCCTACCTACGTGGCCATCGCGGACACTCGGCATAGATATGGATCCTCGGACACTTTCACATTTCCTACCCCTTCGACCTATCTCGTATTCAGATTTTAGGTTAGAAATTTCACCGTCTGTCATTTAACTCTACCAAGCCGCTTGGATGCTCACTCAATCTTCGGCATCCCAACTGACTCTCCCACTCCTCTCTCTCTCGCCCTCTCTATTTCTATCTTTCTACTTGCAAATTAAAATACCACCAACAATAGTATACTAGTAAACCCATAGTGAACGGCCAATAGTGAATACCTACCGTTCTAGCCACGTCGACGATTGAACTCCAAACTTGAATCCCCGGATACCTAGTTTCGCAGAAGGTAAACCACGAGTGAGGCGCGATGGGGAATTTCGCGAGGGTTGCTGCCGTCACGGTAGAGCACGGTTTAGGCGGAATCGCAGCAGGACGGAGCTACGTGTAAACAGTGAGAGGAAGAAGAAACGGAGGGAATCCCGAACAACAAAAAGGGAGCGGGGGGGGGGAGAATACAAGTCTCAAACCAACTATCAGGAAAGCTCTCTTGACGACGTGGTTTCGCTCGGGTGCGGGGCGTGACGTCCTCGCCGACGGTCTGTCTCGAGATCAAAAGAAAACGCGTATTACACTGTGTACTGTATAAAATCCGCGTGGTACCGAATAGCAGGAAAAAAAAAAATTTAAGTCCATGTCTCGCTGGGCAAGACAATCGTACCAAACATTTCTCTGCTCGCATTCATCTCTGATTTCAGTCCCTGCCGGTGGAAGGCTTTTCCAAAGTCGACAAATACTCTTCTCTCAACACTATATACCTACACGAGTAGCGTGGCGACGCGCGGCCGACACGTTTGCCTAACGTGTGATCGGAGATATCCATGGTCGTTTAGCTGAGAATTCGTGGCTGGAATAATCGGCAGGCTTTTTTACATGTAAATAGCGCACTTCCCATTCTTATCTACAGACAGGATCTTACCCTCCTCGTCTACTTCAACTCTGACCATTACTACTAGCATGTCTGACTCTCTCTGGAGGATCCTTCCTCGACCTCTTCCCATATGTATATACACAGCTACTACTCTCGGTGGTTGGACTATTTCTCTGCTATCATTATCATTCTTATCATCATTGGACCTTGTTATCATAAGAGAAGAATTGCTTCAATCCTATTTCCCTCCTGTATTCACAAACCTCAGGGATAAGCTTTCGGCTTTCGGTACTTCCAAACCGGCTAGTATATATACACATGGGGGTGGACAGATTGCCAAGGATTGTATATCGACTACGCTTTCGCTATACCGGGCCCACTCTGGCTGTCTCTAATTACTGTTTAGCCATCCGATTCGTTTAACGTTTCGTGTTTCACTATGGAGCCTCAAGATGGATCGTCGATTATGGCTGGTCTTTATTCAATTCGCTACTTGGAAATCGTTCGCTTTCAATGGAAAGGCGATACCGTATCCAAATGAAAAAATTTCATGTAAATACCCCGCGTGCACTTTTATCTTTCGTGTTTTTTCCCCTTATCTCGTTTTATATTTTAATATTTTTCTAGTCCCTTTTCCCTCTTTGCTCCTTTACAAATCAACGTTGCTCCGCATTCGCGTTCCACGCTTTTTGCACTTTAACGCGTTATCGCGATCCCTCAATACTTACTGCGTCGTCACGCAATGGCAATTTTCATTGCAACGACTCGGACGCGGTCTACGTCATAGACGCCAAAAGCCGACGTCGGATTCGTCGTTTGTTCTCGTCGGCGGTTATGCAATTTTTCTCCAACTGCTGGCAGAGAGCTGTTGTAACGTAGGAGTGTAGAAGGACGAGGGAGGGTGGCGAGGAGGGGCCGGTCGAGCGGGTGGCGAATAAAAGGAAATAGCAATAGAAGGGAACGCTAATTGTTCTTCATTTTTTCTCTCTCTTTTTTTTTCCACCTTGTAATTTAAAGGTACGCAACAAATGCCACACCCGGGGGGGTTGGTAGCGCTGCGAGTTACTAATGGCGCCGATAAATAACAACCATGAAGTATGCACGGCGCGCGGAGGAAAATGCCGAGCTCAAACGGACCGCGCTAGCAATGTTTTAGCTCCGAGCCAAATTACTGATGCAAACATGCTAAATATCTGACATTCATTATTCGTACCGTTGGGCCGGACCCGTTTTGCAAGTGCGTTGCCACGCTTTACGCTTATTTATTACACGTATCCACGTACTGGGACGTTATGTTCGGTAGGCGATTGCACGTATGTGCAGTTCACTGTGATTTACATACGTATCGGCAATTCGTCACGGAACGTTGTCAGCCAGTGGCGAGAAGTCTATCTGTAATTCAAGCGGATATACGTCAGTTTGCTTGAGAAGGGGTAACGTGAAAAGGAGGAGAGAAGAGATGGGGACAAAAAAAAATGAAAATGACAATGACAACGAGCCGGGATGCTGATATCGAGCGAAAGACGAGCGAACGGTAATTGGACGGTAACACCGATGAAACTGACAATTGAAAAAGTTCAGACTTCCCGCGACCTGTCCCCAAGAACGCCGTGAGGGTCAAAGAGAAACGCATTGTTCGACTCGTATTTAACGAGATAGGAAATACCACGTCTCGGAAAGAATTCGGTATTTTGTACATACCCATATACATTACGCGCTTGTATACATGGAATATAGGTAGTTTCAGGTAATACGATAGAGTAACTGTGTTATGGACATACATTGTGTATATACGTAGGGGCAATCTCTCGCGTGTAGAGTCAACAGAAAAGAAAAGAAAATAAAGAATAAGTGGGAAAAAAATAAAAATGTGGAGAGGCCCGGGAGTCGGCAATGGCCGCCACTCGAAAACCATCCCCAGGACAGTACTCATCGGTGCTTCCTCTGGCCTCTTTCACCAGATAACGTTTCGTCCAGGATTTTCCTTTTACCTCGAACGTATACCTACGAGAGAGAGAGAGAGAGAGAGAGAGAGAGAGAGGGATGAATTTTGTTGCCAAAAAAAAAGAAGCAAAAAAAGGAATAAAAATTCCCAGGAAACAGACATGTCGGAGAGGCAGCAGCAGGGATACCTGAGCACGTAGAAGAGGTACAAGCGACAAAATAGTAGACCTAATATGCATGGTAGATAGGTACTGGGACAGCTGGAGGGTATGGAGGTTGGTACCCATGATGGGATCTGACGATTTCCGTCGACCAGATTTTTTTTGGAATTCAGGTGACGAACGTGGTAAATCGAAAAAGAAAACGAGGCGGCGCATTCTGTCAATGGCAATCTGAGGGTGCTTGCTGCTGAATGAGATATTGGGTGGGGAGAGTGGGGGCGAGGGGCAGGGAGACAGGGTGGCGGGCATGGGGAGAAAGGAAGGACGGAGAGAACGGAAAAGAAATGTAGGAACCAAGGTACGACGGGACGAATCAGAAACGTACATTGGCACATCCCCCTTTTTATTCTCGCGTGACTCGTCAACCTGCCATATTGCATTGGAACGGAGATGCACGTCTCGACGCTTTGGCGAACGTGTTGGGGGACGTTCGTGGGTCGAAGAACGTGAGATAGGTTAGGTGTGCGTAGCCGATGCGAAATTGGACGGATGTGTGATAGACAGAGAGCTAATCTGACAAATTGACGTAGATAATGGGATTGGATCGGAGACCCAGGGTTCGAGGTCGCACGTCGGATCGGACGGACTTTTCGTACGTGCATACGGAGGACGAGCCCTGTACATACGTAACGTGGTACCGAGTATTAGCTATAGTTATATACGTCATGCTGATGGTATTAGCGTATATCGATGCAGTCTGTATGCTCTGTACCCTTGGTAGTTATAGATATGGGCATTCCATCCCTTAAAGCGAAGGGTGGGCTACAGGGGGTGGTACAGTAAAATGGAACAATGCCCGAGACTCAGGAAGAGTGACGATGGCCATCAATCAATTTTTCAAACCGGGAACGGGACCGATGAAAAATCGAAACGTAACCTCTTCGATGTAAGGATCTATTTATATGTCTGGATCTGTATATCTACATACCTTCTATCAATCTTTGAAATAATAAAAGTTCAACGAATTCTCGACGTTTTTCAATATAATCGACGTGGGTCTGATAAAGACGGAATTGCCCTGACGATACCTCGTTACGTATCAAGTCGATAATACAAATATTGTCTAAATAAATTATCTGCTTGATGTCGGTTGGGCGAAGTGAGGGAAAAAAAAATATTACCCTAAAACGAAGTAACGTCAGACGAAAGTTAAAGTAGCCGTAACGAGTTCAAATTGAATATGAAATTATTGACGTTATCGTAATTTCAATTGTTAATTGTATACAAAACCCAAGAGGCACTAAACGCCGCGAGTAAATCGTATCGCGAAGCCATCGTCGTTATAATAACCCGGTATATTGTTTATCGTCCGGTGAATGTTTATATTCCAAACAGCCGTCGGAAATTTGGTCTCGTCGTACAACCGGCCACGTCGAAATGACAGCAGAGAGAAAAATAAAGCCGGCTCTATTCAGCTTAGTGTAATAATGAAAGGAAAAGCTGGTTAACCTTATGCGTTTGTGTATGTAAACCATGTAAATGATTAACGAGTAACCTGATCGGTTAGTAGGTTGACTGGGGAAGAGAGAGAGAGAGAGAGAGAGAGAGAGGAGGTGAAGGTAGGAAAAGTAGGCAGTGGGGATACAGACGCTTCGCGTCACTTCGACGCCCGTTGATGCCTCGTCCAATAAAAGAGAGGAGGTGAAGGTAGGAAAAGTAGGGATTAACGAGTAACCTGATCGGTTAGTAGGTTGACTGGGGAAGAGAGAGAGAGAGAGAGAGAGAGAGAGGAGGTGAAGGTAGGAAAAGTAGGCAGTGGGGATACAGACGCTTCGCGTCACTTCGACGCCCGTTGATGCCTCGTCCAATAAAAGAGTATAGGGTCGCGAGAAAAGTCCACAGTGCGATTAATTTAACAACGTTAATTACAGAAATTAATTAATATGATCTCCTACGTCAGTTAAGCCCCTCGTACGTCAGTGTCGGATGCAGCTGATCTTACGAGTAATTACTGTTGTCGTGGTTTAACGTCCAAGTGACATACGTAATAGAACTTGCCACCGACACACTGTATATACCAGGAGCTTTAACGGTTGGGGGCGTTAAACACGTATAACCTGCCTTAGCATTCATATAACGAGTAGCTTGGTAAAGTGGAGCAATAACAAAATTTTTTTAATGCTCAAATTGTATTTTTGTCAAGTATTGCGTATAAAGTATGTACTTGATAAAATAGTACTTGAACAGATTATTGAATTTGTTTAGTAATTTTGTTGTAGACGTGCTATCGACATAGAGGGTCGATCGCTCTGATTAATCAAACGTTTAATCTGAATTTTTAACATGAATGACGTTTACCGCGTTTTATTCTTTAAATTCGTTTCGTTGTAATTGTAGAATGGGAACAAAACGCTTCGTCCCCGCTGGTGTAGTTGCATAATTGATACCAGGGTGACTCGCCCTCCGTGCGCATCATGAAGGTCGATTAAACATGCTGGTGACTGAAAGTCGTTGCATTACTGTATCGCGTGAGATTTACTATTGGATAGCGATCGTTCTCTCGTATTCGCCTTTTAATATGGTTTTTTTTTTAATTTTTTTTCTGTAATTTTATTTCCCGTCCACCAGCCGTTCCTCGACTATGTGCGCAATCCTTGCTATATGCATATAACCCTGGCATGTATGTTGTTCTCCGTTGCACTAGGTACACTGCCCCGTTCCACCAGGAGGCAACCATTCCATTCTCCCAAATGCTTAGGTACACAAGTGAATGCACATATGTATATATATATAAGTGTGTATATATATCTATATATACCGCTGCATAGGCGTAGAGAAACACGTAGATGGTGAAATACAAATATCGAGATTCTACGGGTGACTATATGCACGCGTGCATGTAGTATGCACGTGCACCACTACAGATATTCCGATTACATCGACCTACCCCAATACCCCTGAATCCTCACCGACGTGGAAATCCCAGTCGCTATAATAAGATGACCCAATTGCTCTTCTATTTATTTACCAGCATTCCATTTCTGTCATTCACTCAGCTTGCGAATCTCTCTTTTGGTTGTTCTCACATTGTTACTGTTGGGATACTAATTTGGATGCTGTGCTGTCCGGTTTTTTTGGGTATACGTGTGTAGCAATACGTCAGACGATTCTCTGTCATGTTTTACGGTCGTCATTTTACTCTTTCCTTTGGTCGAGTTTTTCTGAAAATACGATAAGACTGTTATTACTGCGTAGTTACCTTTATCACTGGATGGCGTGTCGGCCATCTTGTTTTTGTCAAAATTTTGATATTTCATAACGTTGCACTCGACGTATTTCAGGAGTTCGTAAATGCGAATTCGATTCTTATGAATCGGACGAACGAAAAAAAAGGCGAGTCTAGCGCAAATTTATGTAACTGTTTACTTTCCGTACGTTCCGCACGTTTTTCTTCTCTTATTCCTAGTTTTCTTACTTTCCCGAGGAACTTCCTGGCTAAGGGTGACCCGTCTGAGTTTTCCTTTTTTTTCTTTTTTTTTTCCAAGAGGGTTGCGACGTACCCACGAAGAGGTTAGGATGCTATCGACAAAAAAGATACTGAGAAAAACTTTTCCAGCCATTGTCAACGTGCCGCTGGACCTAAACGAAACACAAGTATTACGTATATACCTATATACACAAAGAGACAATTCGCGTGCATCGAGCTAACTTAAAATGGCCAGTCGACCAGCATATGTCAACGTAACTTAATCTGCTTAAGTGGATTTAGTGCGGTTCCCTGTTAGCTGAAATTTTAATTCCGTTACATTTGAATATCGAGTCGGTGCCGCTTGGTATTATACATGGTTACGTATGCATAAAGGCGGAGATAGCTGCCATCGGGGGCAAAGGATTTCATTCGAAAAATCTGTCCGCTTTTGAATGAAATGTTACACGTGTAACCTGCCGAACGCGTCGCTTCAATTTATTCGAGGTTATACAGAGCTAACAGTGCTGCTGGTATATTAATTGGATTCGAAACTACGTTTTTCTCATATTTTATTATTTACGTGGGATAATTAACGGTTGGGTAAGTCAATAACGTAACTTAATATGGTATACGGTAATCACATGCTCAATTAATACGCAATAGCACTTGGCAACGAGCGGCACTTAATTATTCTCACCGGTGTGTGTGTATATATATATAACCTACATAGAGCTATATCTATATCACAGTAGCACAATGATCGATAATTATTACTGTTGACATTCCGTATCAGAGATGATTGGATGCTTCGTAATGATCATCGTGAATCCACTAATGACCGATCTCTTCGTGACAAATACGTCTGTTCCTGTGTAAACATGTAGCTCTTTAATATTTTCACTCGCGATTGCAATAGTATATATATATATATACACACACATATATTGATGGAAAGCAACAAGGAGCCTGAAGATCCAACCGGAAATCTTCTGATGGATGAAGATTAATTCGTATGAATATCCATCGGTGACTATCAAACATCCGGTGATGGATTCACGATTTGGTCCTGCGGTTATCCCTTTGATATCCATCACGAAATATCCACTGTCGATATCGGAAAGGTTTTAATGTAACGACTTTTAATTCACTGCAAGTTGAAGTTGACGAGTATTCCCTTTGTCTGCCTACGTGTAATTGCTCTGCTGCACTGTTCACACTTCCGCTTTCCTAGGCAACCTAATAAAGCTGCGTACATAGATGTACAGTATACGAACACACGCATACCTTATATTTCGCTTGAACGTAATAAGGGGGAACGCATAATTCCGACAGTTATCTAAGAACTAACGTTACCCGACGTATACGTAGTCGAGGGTGACATAACGTGACTAATAGCCGTGCTCAACTCACCGGTCGCATTATTGCCGTTTTACCAGCTACGTAATTTGAAAATTGCCCAGTGCGTGACTAGCGCCACGACGGGTTAAGCGGGAAGCTAAACAGGCTGCGACGTTAACCGTCGCTACGGGTATTAACGTGGGCCAGCCCCTTCGTGATTTTTTGCACTTACGACCTGTGACCTCCTACAAGGCAATCCCTCCTGTGCTATTTATATCAGGAATATTCAAGCGTGCGTATATACACTGTAAACGAATATTACGAAGTAAGTAAATAGTCGGAAAATTCAATTACGATATGTTTATCTTCGATTGGACCTGTCTGCTGTGTATAGTTCTATGTTTCAAGCCCTTGATCCTTTCTCTCACACGAAATACGTGTCGGTGTCAATGGGTCTGGATATCTAGACTAGTGTCTTTTTTTGTCACCTGTCCAATTTACGCTCCTGAGCTCTCCCTTTTACTTTGGCGGGTTATCACGTTCCGACTATCTTACGTATTAATTGCCGACCGTCATTTAACACATCTGATACCGGCACGTACCGGCCGTTTCAATTTCCCTTCTGACTTTACTTTTGGCGCGTGTACCTGTTTTAATACGTACGTGAACTATCCTAGTCGCGTTAAGGATTTCTCACTTAGTTGACTTGCGATTTTTTTTTATTTTTTTTTTTTTTTATTTTTACTTTGGCGTCGTTAGTCCTCCCGGCGCCGGGACGTGCATAGAATGAGGTTAGGAGTTAAGTTGTTTGCTCGTTAACTCTTACGAACTGTCGACCAACCGAGAGTTACTGCGAATAGTGTCTATACGCTATACTACGTATGTATACATCTACTGTATGTATCTTTGAACAGCACACGGTATAGATGCATATATATACGTATCACTGTATCACCAGCTTCGAAGAGATACCCTTATCAGCTGGTGAAATTTTTGTCACTAGGATCACGAAATTTATTCATTCAAATTAATTGTGTTTACCTACCAACGTGTCCTTACGATTTGTGATGTAAATGGGGATTCCGATGATGCGCGCAAGTGGAGATTCACGAAATTGATAGAGAGGGTCCAAAGTCCTGAAGGGATGAACCTGGTACCCTTCTGGCTGCCTCCCTTATGGCTACTCAAAGCCATCTCGTACCCTTCAACGTGGACCACTTGTAGGTTTTATAAAACCACCAGAGTCCTTCCTGCTCCACGTCGTCGTGTTCACGACATTGATTTAGCGAACGGCTGACTAGGGCGACGATGCCCTGACACCCCTACGTTCAGAACACACGCAACCCTCCCCCCCCCCTACTGGCATCAACCTCATTCCCCCTTGTTTCACCTTTGGCAAAAAGCCCGATGGGGGGTGTCGAGCACTTTTCTCCTCCCACTCCTCTTTTTTTTTTCTTCACACTGTAAAACCCTTTCGTAAATTCGCGCTTCACGTACTCGTACGATTTATCATCCCTGTCCTCCTTTCTGTGCCTTCCCCTCTCTCTCTCTCTCTCTCTCTCTCTCTCTATCTCTTATCGTGTCCTTGTATTTTTTTCTCTTTCTCTCGTCCGGCCATCCAGGCGTCCTCGGACACTCAAGTCATCCCCCGTGACTTCCGTCTCAAGTGCCTTGACTTCATCTTATACCTTATTTTCAAAATTTTCGATCGCCATTTTATTTCCATTTTCATTCTTCTAGACTGTCGATGCTCTCGTCCACGTCTTTTTTTTTTTTTCTTTTCCTTCGCGCATACGAAAGAAACGTGCGCGCTCGTACCGACTCGCGCTTTCTTTCCTTCAGTGGCGAATGACGCTTTTGCTTTCGTCGTAAAGCACTGTTCAAAAGTGTCCACTTTATCTTTCCTTTGAACTCCTACCGTTTTTCTCCCGCTTTATTTTTTCCTCTGTGTCTGGAACGATTACGCGCACGATATCGCGTGTGTGTTTTCAAGACACGATTTTCTCCCTGAAATCGTTGTTTCCTCGAGTTTTCATTTGTCGGCGTTTACATCGTTAAAGTCGTCGAGCGTAACCCCCGAACGATGACACTTTGTTAGGACGACGTCAGCAATCCTCCTATTCATCCCTTCGATATAACAAACCCTTCGTTATCGTTATTTCCCCTAATCAGTGGTATCCTGCCAGCCTCTCTCTCTCTCTCTCTCTCTCTCTCTCTCTCTCTCTCTCTGTGTGTCTCTACACACCCTGTATATATACTATATCATAGTAGTACTAACGTATCGTTTCATCCCTCATCTATACTGACAATTTCCTACTTTATATACACATACGTTTAGGTGTCTGAACATTGGTACAATTTCTCTCTCCCAAATGACATTAGTCCAGCAATTCAGCAATGCTTGATAGCACTCAATCCATTTAATGCCTGACGAAAGGATAATCTAAGCTAAAGACGTGGATAGTTTCGCAAAGTTTTTACGAGCGGTACTTCTCGCGTACTCTTCTTAAGTTAGTTTCTCTCTCTCCCCTCCCTATCTCTCCCCCTGCCGCTGTGTTCGCCAACGTGAAGGATGACCTCGTACAGTGCTTCCCTTTCGCGCAGCAACGATAGTTTTGTAATCCAGGGGATAGAAGGCCTATGTACATATATTGAGTTATAGAGCGAGGGATAGAGATGGTAAATATAAACAGAGCTCCTAAAATCTTAAAGGATCGATGTTCATGGTACGAAGATCGTCGGCAAATACTCGTGTTAGGTTTATCTCATGAACCGGTCGAAAACAGTCTAACCGATCGTCGCATGATTTCGTATTACCCAGAATTCCCGTTGTTGTATCAGGTAGCCCGTGTGCGCATGCGCGTAACCATCGCAACGGAACCTCTCGTCTAACGAGACTCCCTTTATTATGGAAAGTTTTGTGGCCGGTTAAACGCTCGTCCATCAAAGAAAGAGCCGAGGGACTCCCTTTTATAATGATTGCGACTCTTCAAAATCCTTCTTAAGGATCGTTTCTCTTTGCCTTATAATATCGTATATAAAAATGCCGTTCGATGGGCCAGAATATAAAGTAATTTTAGGCCATAACCGCTAGGCCTGTCATTTCATTTAACTTGCTCCCTTGGTTCATCTTTTTGAAGGGAGGAGAACGTAATGGTTTTTTTGTTATGTATTATTTGGGAAAATTAGATATATACATATATATATATATATATACATATATATATATATTGAAATCATTAACAATCCCCCATTTGTCGTTGATTAAGATTAAGAGAATAGTCCGATATATAATTATCTAATCGAGGTTGAGTGGCGAGAGATTAGATCGGATGGGCAATGGTCGACCATTTTGGCCCTACCTATTAATGGAACGGTGCGATTAGACTTTGACGAGACTACTTCTGCAGTGAAAACATCGATCTCACTGTGCTAGTGAAGAAAGTGGGTTGATAGTCAGACTTGCTAGTGGCTACAGGCAGTACGTATCTCTATATACGTATATGAGTATTCGGAGATCCATTTGAAATCAGGGGGCAGAGGTATAAGCCTGATGATCGTTTTCCAATATGAAGTGTGTAATATGTATGTATATACGGTTGATATATATATATCGATACATATATACGTTAATTAATTAATTATTTATGTATATCGTTTCTATATATATATATACATATAGTATATTTAGCTGGAAAGATTTGTAGGGATTTCTTGACGCTACGTAACCAGAACTCGAGAATGACGCGTTTGCGTGGAAGTTTTGATACCCCCTGAGAGCTTTACGAAATTCGATGTAAAGAGTCGAATTACGGGAAGGTTTGTTACCTAGGGAAAAAAATCGTGGTTGGGCGGGAGGCTGGTGACGACGATGGCGGCTGCGGTGCTATATTTGAATACGGTTTTTTCAGCTGAAAGGACGAGAGTCGACGTAGGCGGCCTCATTAAATCACGCGCCCCTATTTTGCGTTCCTCTAGTTACCTTTCTTTCTCTCTCTCTCTCTCTCTCTCTCTCTCTCTCTCTCTCTCTCTCTCTCTCTTTCTCTTTCTCTCTCTTTATACGAGCCCGACGTTCCTCGGACGCTTCAAGTTCTCAGTAAAAGTCGCGAAAACCTCGCATTTTTCTCGGTCACGCTTGTACGCTTATGTGTAAGTGTGCCGTGTCCTGGCGTCTTAAAATTCTTATGAATTCCGGCATATATCCGGCAGAAACGACTTAAAAGATAAACGCAGTTCGTTTCCTTGTCTCGTCTTTTCTTTTTCTTTTTCTTTTAGAAACTAGAATACGAGCAGAATCAAAAGCAAAACTTTACCAGGCCGGACCGCCATCTTAAATCTCCCGAAAATCGATAGAACCCAGTACCCCCGTTCGTCTGCGACACATGTATAACAATAATTAGTACCAATAATAATAATGATCATCCTTAGAAACTGTTGGCATTTTGTCTCAGTTCTGTCAGACTTCAATAGAATTTGACATTAATAGGATCTCGAGTCTCATTCTGTAGGCATCAAGCGCATCATGATCGTATCCAGTGTATTTTGAATGGTCCATTTGTAAATATTCTCGCTCGAATGGAAAGCCGTGTATTTGGACTAATACCGAAAGGACCCAATTTACAGAAATTCTAATTCATCGCTCTTATACGTAATATCTAATAATATTTCTTCTGACTCCAGCAGTAAGAGGGACGCGCATCGCGAGCTTTAAAGCTTTCGCTTCTGCGAATAGCTCCAAGTGATTGTCGCTCCTTGATATTTCACAAGTCAAATCTACGGCGTCTCTAAGCCGTCGAACTCTCAGAAAACTTGGAAGCTTGTTCGAGTGAATGTTGACTTAGTCATCGCGAGTAAAATGAGGACGGAGCTAGAAGAAAAAAAAGGATCATCTACCGCAGCGCCATCTCGGCGTGTGAAAAGTAACGTGTAATATGAAATTCAAGAGCGATATAAAGACTATAGAAGAAAAATTTCTACATAAAGTCGTGAAGCTTTATTACCATGATTTTATTGTAGCGAGTACGTGGTGTCACGTTATTTTTTTTCTCACCG